TCCTGCCGCAGTAAACCCAACTGCGAGTCGTTGAGAGACGATGTCTGAGATGGGTCACGAGTTGAATGCGGAAGTGGAAAAGTGAAAGTTATGATGCAGAAGATACGTGTCGGTCACAAGTCGGCTGGCTGCGTTTGCACCTGCCTTGTGCGCGTATCTGGCCGTCGAACCGACGTCAGGAAATTCAGGTGCAGAAGGAACATTATTGAGCCGTGCCTGAATTGGGATATGGGTTTGGACTTGATTTGATTTCAACTTCAAATACATTTGGCTTGGAGAACAGAAAGGGACGAACTTATCGACCTGCGCTGCTAGCACTGACCTTATCTTCCCGGCAGTCGCTCGCTCGACCCAACAGAAAAGGCCACCGCCGTGGACAAGTGTACGGACGACACCATCAATACAGCCACCGCCCTCGAACCCGCAATTGATGCAAGGCGTCCTTCTCGCCAATCAACCCAATGTCTACTCTTGGGCTTGCCATTGACCTTGAGTCGCGCTGCGGGGTCTGCACCGAGACCATCGAGCGAGAGACGCCCATAATTGCTTGTACAGCTCCCAGTCTCCTGCGCGTCCTTCTAGGTAGCCTTCTCTGAATGCAAGTTTAGTAATTGGGCGCCATTTTAGCATGGAATATCTGGGGCGAACTGCTACACTCGCTTTTCCCAAGACATCTGTCCCTGATGTGGAGGTGTACCTCGACAAGAAGACAACTGTGCATCTCTGCTACCGGTGCTCCTGATTGAAATGCTGCCAACACCCGGAGAGTCGCAAAAAACCGTTTGTGGCCGCCGCGGTCCATAAAGACTGCTTCGTCATTGCGACACAAGCATGTCCTCTTGCTCCCCGCCTGGTGTGCAAACGGATCTGGGAACTGGCTTTGGCCAGAAGTCCATGGCCAATTGAAGCCTCACCCCCAAGAGCGCTCTCCTTTGCAAGCCCGTGTCTTATAAGCCCACAAGCCGTCAATCGGATTGCTTCAGTTATCGGCCTTCCTCGGCTCGTCAACTTCCCTTCAGAATTGGTCGAACGAATCCGTTCGTGTTCAGCCGGAAATGTTCCATTCTGGAGAGCCATCGCCGCCCTGATAGTTGCATCTTCGCTGCCCGACCTTGCAACCTTTCCCAAGCAAGAGGTGGAACTGTGTCACATATTACACTGGAAGAGAGGCCAGGAAATAGAGACGGTAGGCCCTGTAGGCCAGCATGACGTTCTCCGTCTTACTTTCGACGTGGATGGAATCCGAGAGATTGAGCGGTTTTGCCAGCAACCGCAGGCTGAGGACTGGCAAAAGAACAACCGCAGATTTGCCTACGCTCTCTTGGACACAAGCGAGGGAGACTATGGATTTTCGCGCAGACTTGCCTACTGCAAAAACGGCCTTTTGCGACTCACTTTCGATGCCAGCAATGTGCACCCTGACTACCAGCCGCGTGTACCTATACCCTGCGTGCCACGTATTTGGGACACGCCCACGCCCCCGGATTTCACTTTGTCTGATGACTTGTTCGATTTCGAGGACGTGGACGTCGCGACCGGCCATTTTGTCAGTCTGGACACTATCTCGGGCCTTACATTTGTTTACCGCGGCAAAGACCTCGTGGCAATCTACCCTTATCACGGCGACGACGTTGACATGACCTATCCCAGAACCTCACCTTCCGGCTCTTCCAAAATACCGGAAGCTTGCTTCTTCCTACCTGTTACTAAGGAGGATACAATCCTGGGAATAGGTGTAGGGTCTTATCAGAACGCATTTGTAGTAATGGCATGTTTCTGCTCCCAGATTCGACTTGTTGCCGCCTTGCATTCTTCATTTTCACTTTCACGCGTAATCCTCACTGGCTCCTGGGAAACGCCTGTTGTCATGCCACGTGCTTTTACTCTTCCGGTGCTGTCGGCAAACGCTGACACGATCATCCTATTGCAGGTCAAGAAACGTCTGTCTGGGGATAGTGTCATCGGTCTGCCTTGTCCCAATCCGCCCGACGACGATGACGATTGGGAAGGAGGACGAAGATTTCTTTGACAAATCCGAGTTCATGTGGGGTCAACTGGATCCGAAGCCCCTGGTCTAAGGATTTTGCAGTAAGACGAAGGACCTGAACCTTTTGGCAGGCTTTCGAGGTAATAGACGCTCGAAGAACGAATGGGAAGGTTTTCACGGCATCATACCTCATCAGTGGCCCAGGGGCCTCTTCTGCTTCGACGATGAAGCGGATCTGCGCTACTACACCGGCGCTCCTCTCCGCGGCGTTGTCGCAGCTCAGATGTACTTCTATCCCTCGCATCCGAAACGGCCGAAAGAACGTGTCTGTTCGGGGATCATTTTCCACTACGACAACGGCGGCCTGGTGGTTCACCGCAAACAAACGGAACAGCATTGTGATACGTGATTGGGCAGATGAAGCCTCGGAGTCAGGCAAATGGGCAGATGTTTCAGAGTCAGAGGACTGACGATGGTCCGGTTTTGTCTACATATTTTTTCCCTCGTGATAATGGACGGTATTGGGAAAGGGGGCGGGTAGCAAATGCATATCTAAGTACTTGTTTGATTAGTACGGAAAAAGGGCGTGTGTTTGATGGCCTGTATATAACTCTGAGCCATATGATGATCTAATGAGACCGGAGTGGAAGAAGAGGGAGGGAAAAATGGATGAGGAATACCCAACCAACCAGCATCAGTGATGGGCCGCTGTAGCCGAATATAAGTCGCGATCTTTCTAACCAGCATTTGTAATATTTTGGACTTCAAGTTGTGACAGCTGGTTCTGATCCCAAGTAATACCTGTTGTGCTCACCTCCGCAAGAAAAGTGGCAGATGGAGTGATTATCATGGGAATCCTCCTTTTGGCTCGCCATGCACTGGGTAGAAATTCACCGCTACGTCGCTCTAGGACGGGAACTATATCACTTATCACAACCTTAAAAGAAATGATGCATGGTTAGTGTAGAAGGCACTACAGAGAACTGTCATTTGCCGTTACCCAGAGAGTCTACATAATATCAGTCGTTGAGAGCTCCGAATTGCGGAGTGTCCAACAAGTGTTTTGGTGCATGGTCGGTTATTTCCCTTTATCCAACCTCTAGATAACTTCTGTTTGTGGGTCTGTGGGGCAGATACCAAGATCTTTCTTGCTTAGGTGTTTGAACGTCTGTTGACACATAACCACAATAACCTCAAATTTTTCAGGCCTCACAAAAATAGCAAAATCCGCGGATAGGGGGAAGGCGGCTTTATCCAAGATCAACCGAGCAGTTGGTATCTGTCGCCTTTGGGCTGACTGTGGATTTAGCAAGGCCTACCATGTTTTTCTCAAGTAAATACTCCCCACCTTGGACTTGGACGGTGTATTCCTGTCATAACGCATCGAGATGAATGGAAATCATTGCTTAGGCGTACCTAGAGGCAGGTTCCAACGCCACACGGTCTTCCACTGTGATGACATTCGAGGTAGGCAGACAATTAAGCATTTCCAGCCCTCGTACTAACTCCAGAGCCTACTTCAGCCCTGATGCCTCAAAACAACCTCCCTCGCAATCTTGTACCAAATCGACAACTCCTTCTTCTTCATCTCCATTTCCATCTCCTTCTCCCGATTTTTCTTCTCCACAGCCGCAGCCATCCCCTCTCTATCCTCAAACCTTCCCGTCCCCATCAACACAAAAGCCGCAACGATCGTTCCCAGCGTAAACACCGTCAAGAACCACGCCCCTACCCTATCGCCCCTGGTCATCTCCCTCGTCAGGTGCGTCGGATCGTCCGCACCCTTCCCCGTCCCTGCGTGCGGATCGCCTTTACTCGTCCCGCCCGTCTCGCCGGTCAGAGGAGCGCCCTTCCTGGTGTTCTTATCATCATCCCCCTGAAAATCGACAAGCAAAGACGATAAAGCCGCCAAAACATTCATCTCCTGCCCTGCGCCCGTCAGACCATCATACCCGCCCATCGTCCAGCGGAAGCCGCACGCTCGACCGCTGTGTAAGGGACCCTTGCACGAGTTTATTGCGGCGGTGGTGGAGTTGCGCAACACTCGCATTATGGTGTCCCGCGTGAAAGGCGCGAGTTGCGCGGTGCTGGCCATCCATCGGTGCGTGTACCCCTTGAAAGATAACATGTCGGTTTTGCAGAGGATGGTCGCGGGGGTCTCGCAGGAGAGCTCGATGATGGGGCCAATGCGGAAGAAGAAGGCGGCAGTGCGGTCGAGGAGGGTTTGCACCCGGTGTTGCCAGAGAGCTTGTTCTTCGCCGGTTGTCTGTTTAACACCCAGTCAGTCGGTCAGTCAGTGTCTGTTCTGGTTTTCTCTCGGGGATAGAAAGGGTTGGGGAAAGGGGAAAGCAAAGGAGAATGGAGAATAGGTGGAATTACAAAGCTGTACATAAACGCTGCTCCTTGCAAGAAGATGGCCGCGTTATAGGAGAACTGCGCTTTGAAGACATCTGTGCAGTTCACACCCGTGTGCGCTCCGTCGTATACATCACCGTCCGGTGTCATCAGCCCGATGGCCATCATCCAGTCCCACGTCTTCCGCGCGTGGTGCGCGTACGTTTCGTTACCCGTGTACCGAGCCAGTCGGGCGCCGAGGTTGAAGAAGATACCTGCACAACAGCAGCACGGTTCATTGTCAGAAAGTTGGCGGCACTGAAAGACTCGATGGATCTGCTTATGTAGGTACATACCGTTGCTAATCGAATTCTTATAATCATACCCAATATTCGACATCGGAATCTGCCACCTCAGCCCACCACCACACACCGTATCATGTCTTCCAGGATCCACCTGGGTATTGAACACCGCCTGGGCAAGCTGCAACCACTGTGGTTGATCATCGGGCGGATCGGGAAAGCCGATCTCGGCCGCAAGCATGGCCGATAGGCCCCAGAACCCTTGGTCGTCGTTGCCCATCGATATGGTGTAGTTCTCGGGCATGTAGGCGTTCAGCGGGGGCCCAGTGTGGAAAAGCATGGAGGAGGTGATCAAATCGTTGTAGGTCGAGTCGCCCGTGTAGTGCCAGTAGTCCATCAGCGTGCCCCAGAGGGCGCCCGATTCCCACCAGTAGTAGTCGCCAGCCGGGGGAGGGCCGGGGAGGATACCCGGTGTTTGGCCCGGTTCGGAGCCATGGTAGTAGGTTAGGAGGTCGGAGGCGACGAGGGAGGCGGCGCCTTTGATGGAGTCTGGTGGAAGTAGGACGGGGTACTGTTAGTAGTCTGTTTTGGCAGAATATGATGTCTGTGTGAAGAAGGGATTGGCAGCTTGCGAAGTACCTGGAGAGTTTAGGTCAACTTGGAGAGCTGCCTGGGTCTGGCGGGCGACCAGAAAAGCCGTGATAGCTATGACACGCATTATACCTGGTATGGATACATGGGTAGACCTTATTGATGTTGATTCGAATCCTCAAGTTGTATGTCGAGTTTCTTCTCGATACGAGCAACGAGACGAGACGAGGTAACGGAGAAGCGGTCAGGAAGCAAGTGAAGTGCTGAAGCTTTCCATTCCAACGCGTGATCCAAGTACCAACTCGCGGGGACACCGCGGGGAAGACAAAAAGCCCGGCATGTTGCTTGAGGTCCTGTATGCTTGTAACTGCAACAAGGAATGCAACGCGGACTCATCCTGCCCGTGTGATTTCGTGAAGCACCAGCTGTCATCGGACGACGCAAGATGTCGATCTCGTTCGTCCCAGATCGGTGAAACCACGGCAAATGTCCTAGCGTCACAACGGTTGTTCTCGAGGCGCCTGTTTTTATAAGGGGAAAAACGTGCACACCTGTGCATATTGGAGATGCGGTCATAGCGATGTCCTAGTGGTGTCTCAAAACTCAGTGTACCCGAAATCTCAGGTGGGTGACACTTAACGCCGTTGACGCGTTCAGTATAACTGGACTCTCCATGTTAGACACAACAGTTGGCGTTGTAGGGAGGGGTGGTGAAAATAGGAAGTCGACAACTCGCTCGATGTTGAGGATTGATGCGCGGAGATATCGGACGAACTGGCCCAAGGTCCACCGGCCGATCTACCGCAGCACCGCATCCGGGCCCGTGTTCCTGGAATCTCTGTCGTCATGGCCGTACCGTATTATGAACTGCCCACGGGATATTAGAAGACTCCATCGCGCATCGCATGATACGGAAAATGTTTTGGATTTTTCAGTGCCAAGCATCGAGACAGTGAGGCTAGATCACCAAGCGACTGGTCCTCAGTCTGGACTCCTTGACTCCATATGGATGGTGCCAACAATCGTGGTACATTCAACAGTCGGCATCATCTCATGTCGTACGCCGTACAACCAATTGTACGGTGCTCTCGGGTATGTGTCATCTCGGGTGTCTCCACAGCCGTCCGTCAGTGAATCCGTGATATCCCTTGCGCCAGCTCCCTTGGCGAGACATTCTGATGCCGGAGATTTGTTGTACTTGGGTCGATTCTCCATATAGAAATCGAAGAGCTTGCCTGTAACAGTGTTAAAATCCAAAAAAGTGTTTTCGGTATTTTGTGCAAATCTGTGACTGTTCACCACTGTGAGAGCAACAAAAGGGTATATTCTCTATCTTCAAATTTTGGGTGACTAACATGTTCAAAACGAGCTTGCTGCTTCTACAACCATTTTTAACCAACCGACGCAACGCTTGAACATTTTCCAGCAAGTTGACAACTTAACCCCAAGTACCACCGCCGCCGCCACCACGTCCACCTCTTCTCTGCGCGCTGAGACGCCAGTCATCCGCGCCGGCATACTTGTTGTACAGCGGCTCGATCCGTTCGGCCTTCTTCCGCTTCGATAGCTTATCGGTCGGCGCCATCTTGAAAAAGGTTGGTGCCGCCTCGACCAGCCACTTCGGCTCGATGCTAGTGGTGTAGTGCATGTACTCACGGGTGGTCAAGACCAAGGTGTGATAAACGACCCACTCAGCTTGCTTGCCGAAGAGCGCCGAGCTGGGATGGAGATACACAGGCGTACCTTCGATCAACGTCTTGTAACCTTCTTGCGGGTCCTTGCGAGCCGCGTTGCGGAAGAAACCGGCGCAAAGGGCTTGCCGGACCTTGTTGGTGTCGCGGCCGCAGCTGATCACGGGATGCCTGTGGCGATCCATGATCTTGACGATCTGATCACGCACATCTTTGGCACGCCTCATAGAACGTGCTTGGATGAAGTTCTCGAAACACCAAGGGTTCCCATAGCCGTTGTTCTTCCAGGAGTTGTACACGTTAAGGAGGGTCAAATGATCGCCATGAGGATCGTGGAATTTGGCCTTCTTTTGGTCAGCCTGAGCTTGCTTCTCCTTGGGACGATAGAAGACGTTGGGAAGGTTGAGCATGGCAACAATCGTCACCATCTCGTCGGAGCAACCCTTCTCCACAGATGCGATAAGGACCTTGGCAAGGGCAGGCTCCATGGGGAAATCAGCCATCTTTCTTCCAAGACGCGTCAGAAGACCTTCGTCATCCAGCGCAGCGAGGGCGTAAAGCTCTTCCAAGGCTGTAAGCATAGTGTTGACGGGAGGTGGATCCATGAAATCGAACCGGAGAAGGTCATTAATACCCATGGCCTTCAGCATAAGGATGGTATTGGACAGGTTCTGGCGCTGAATTTCGGGAATGGTGGTAGGCAACATTTCAGACTGGTAGGCGGCTTCCGTATACAGGCGAAAGCACTTTCCTGGTCCTGTTCTGCCGGCGCGACCGGCTCTCTGGTTGGCCTGAGCCTGGGAAATAGGGGTGACCACCAAGGAATCCATGCCTAGTTTGGGGTCATAGGCGTTCTGTTTGACAAAGCCTGGGTCAACGACGTAGTAGATATGATCGATTGTGATGGATGTCTCAGCGATGTTGGTGGCAATGACAACCTTTCGGCTGCCTGGCGGCGCTGGGTCGAAAATCCTACTCTGCATCTCACTAGGAAGGGCAGAGTAAACGGGCAGGATGAGAAGCTCAGGAACGTTGGGACCCAAGGCTTTCATCCGTTCGTATAGAATTTCGCAAGCGGTGTCAATTTCTTCTTGTCCTGTTAAGAACAGAAGAATGTCACCCATCGGTTCGCTAAGATGAATTTGCATGACTGTGGTGAGGGCGGCATCCAGGTAATCAGATTCCGGTTCGCGAGAGTAAAGAATCTCGACAGGGAATGTACGACCAGGGATGGTAAAGATAGGGCACTGGTTGAAGTACTCGCTGAACTTGTCGGCATCCAAGGTGGCACTGGTGACGATAACCTTGAGATCCTCCCTCCTCTTCATTGTCTTTTTCAACAGAGCGAAGAGCACATCGGTGGCAATGGTACGTTCGTGGGCCTCATCAAGCATGATGACCGAGTACCTCTTAAGATCAGGGTCGATCAAGATCTCTCTTTGAAGCATACCGTCGGTCATGTACTTGATCTTGGTTGCTGGACTAGTGACGTCTTCGAATCTGATGGTATAACCAACCTCTTGGCCAAGCTGGCAGCCGACTTCCTCGGAAACACGTTTTGCGACGGAGACGGCGGCGACACGACGAGGCTGGGTACATCCAATCATACCATTGTTAGTAAAGCCGGCTTCAGCCAGGTACTGAGTGAGCTGCGTAGTTTTTCCGGATCCCGTCTCGCCGACGACAATAAGGACCTGGTTCTCCCTCACGGCCTTGATCAGCTGTTCTCTGAAGGCATAGACGGGGAGGGACTCTCGTTGCTCCTTGATGCTCATGTTGGTGCGCCTGCCTAGCGACACTTCCTTGGGTGCAACGGCCCTCTTCCACTCAGGAACAGCATCGGGAGCCGCTGGTGCCGCCTGAGCGTTTTTGCGCAAATCAGTAGCGAACTTTCTGGTCTCCGGGTTCGCCATAGGATCTTGCCATTGTGAGGATAAATCAACCTTCTTTTCCTCCGCCTTCTTGGCTTCAGTCTCCTGCTGTCGCAGCTCCTTCCGTTCCTTGGCGAGGTTCGTACCTGCCATGGCGGCGCGGTTAAGCGACCCATCAGGAGCCTTGACGACGCGGATGGGTGACAACTCGAGAGACTGCTTGGTCTGTCCAGCCAGGAATGGCGGCTCCTCGTCGCGAACCTCGATATCGACATCCTCCTCAAGCTCCATTTGCCCCTCACCCTTGAGGGTTGCCTGGTAGTCTTCTTCAAGTTCGGGGTAATCAGATGCCTTCGCAATGCCTGCCGCGATCATCTGACGAATCTCCCATCTTTCAGGGGACGTCATTCTCTTTTTGTGTTGTCTGGCGTTTGCCGTCGCTTGGAATGTTCCCTTGGCTTCAAATCCATTGCTGACAACAGCCTTGGTATCGTATCCTCCTCCTCTTCCGCCGATTGCCTCCATGTTGGCGCCCGAACCTATCCTCAACTGTGGTGCCAGATCCATACCCGTCTCTTGGTCTACATCCTTCATGGATAAGCCTACCCTGCCTCCCTCGAGCTTGACGACTTTGACCTTGACTTCCTGCCCCTTGGACAGTAGATCCGAAGGGTGGTTGACACGCTGGCCGAAAGCGGAAATGTGAACCAAGCCGTCGACCTTGCCCTTGACGCCGTGCAGGTTGACAAAGGCGCCAAAGTCCTTGATTCCTGTGACATGACCTTCGTAGACCTTGTATAAAATCGGGGCCTCGTCGGTCTCCCGCACTGGTGGCCGCCGGAAATCGCCATCGTATTCATCGTCGTATCGACCCTTCCGTCGGCCTCTTGGTGGCGAGATTGACCTAGACCTTGACCTTGACCTCGATCTAGACCGGTATCGCTCCTTGCGCTTCCTCTTCCCGTAGTCGTCTGCGTAGTCGTCGCGTTCGGGGGTACGGCTTCGTTTCCTAGGTCGTTCTTTCTCCGCTCTCTTGGGTTCGAGGCTCTCAAGTAACGCCAGAGTGTCGTCGATTACATCCACCTCCTTGTCCGGGATGGACAGGCCCTTGAACACCTTTGTCTTCTCCTCGGCAGATTGGCCGTGCTTCTCGTTTTCATCGGTGCGAAATTGTCCGTGGTTTTGACCCTTGAACTTTGGGTGCAAGGTCAGGACAAGTCTATCGATACTCTCGACCAAACTAGGCGGGAAGTCGGCGCCGAGGGTGGCCAGTTTCTGCTTGAACTCGTCGAACGACCCGCATTCTACTCGTTGGGCGATGATGAATTCGGCAAGAGTCTTTTCGCTAACTCCCAGATGATTCTGCAACTCGGACGTGACCTTGGACACGAGCGACAGAAGCTCGAGGCTCTCCAAGTCGTCCATCGCGGTGGCCGCCCGGTGGCTCCGATATTATGTTGCTGTCGTGTTTTGGATACTTCGAAATGTCGATGATGGCCAGGCACAGGCGTCTTGACACAAAATTGAAGCAACTCCCGGTCGACGCGTGGGTTTGCTGAGATGATAGAGCTGTCGCAAGAGGTCCAGAAATTGAGACCTCGAAGTGATGCTGTAGATACAGTGACAGTTGTAGCACCCTGTAGCGGGCGCGAAATAGTGATGAGCGCGACCAGTCATATGCCAGCGGCCAACGTCGAGGCTCCGCCATCCGCCAAGAAATGAGAATTCCCGTGACTATTTGTTTTGTCAGGCAGCGGCGGCCGCCTAAAGTGTTATGGCTCGAAAAGTGCACGAGCCTGTATTCAATGAAAGGGAACCTTGATGGCCTTATACCCAACCCTAACCCTTCTACTACCATGAGAACGGGCAAGGAGTCTAAGACCAGTCATCATGACCCAGCTCCCCGGTCGTGGAAACTTGGTCACTTCAAAGAAAGAGACGGGAATAAGATGTCTGAAATGCTGACTCTTTCTGCCAGGCTTATCGCCGTGTGCCTGCCGCTCCCTATCAAGTGAAAGCCTCTTTGCCCCTGTCATTCAGGTGATCGAATCGGGTGGGATTCCTTGCAAAAGCTTACGCAAGCTCCCCTGGCGCAGGGCCTGGCCTTCTTTCAGCGCGTGACCCGCCCAGTGACGAAGCCCCCATCGGTTGCATCATTCCGCAGCGCCTCCATCAGCCCATCACTTTCCAATCCACCACTCGTCTTACATCGTTTTCTTTGACTTGAACATCCTCTAAAAAACATCAACACCTTCGTTTTTCGAGATACCTATTTATCGTCAAAAGAGTCGCATTTCCTGCCTGAGTTTTACTTCTTTGGCATTCTTTTACCTACTCAGGTTGCACGGTACATACTTGCCACAAGTAACACAACAATGTGTTCCACCGACATCTTCCTTGGCTTCCTAGCCATTCTCTTCCCACCTCTGCCTGGTAAGTTGAACAATACTTTGCGCCTCAAATGAGGTTGCTTTCTGATACTTTCTTGCCATCAACCACTAACATATTTTCCAACAGTCTGGGTAAAATCCGGCATCTGCTCCGCCGACTCCTTCATCAACCTCCTGCTCTGCGTCCTCGGCTTCCTCCCCGGCCTCCTGCACGCCTGGTACATCATCGCGAAGAACCCGACCCCACCATTCGACTACGACGGCGCCGCCTACGATGCCAACGAATCCGGTGCTGTTCGTGGTGAGGGTGGTCAGCGCATCTACGTCTTTGTTCACGACCAAAATGGCAACCAAACCGGTGGCCGCCACCATCACCAAAGCAACAAGCAGCACCAGATTCAGCCCCAACGACAAGGAAACATGAACTACGGCACCACCACCACTTCTGGTGGACAACACGCGCCTCAAGATTCGGGTATCGCGCACGCTGGCCCTAGTGCAGGAGGCGACAACGCCGCGCCCCCGCCGAGTTACGCGCAAGTGGTAGCGGGTGATCACAAGGTTCAGACTCAGGATTAGGGTTCTGGTCCTTCATCTTCTCGGGAGCTGGTGCGCGCACCCGGCGCTGGTGTTGGCGACACGATGACGCCCATTGTCGATGTTAATGCTTCTGCTTCTGCTTCTGCTTCTGTTCCTGCCAAGACAGATGCCAAAGTTCGTCCATTCAAAGATTGGAAGGGCGGGGATTGCGATTGCCACTGTGCTTGCGAGTGTTACGAGAAGCAATGCTGCGGACCCGAAAGGCCGTGGCCGTCACATCTAGCTCTGGCGACGCAGTGGTTTCCTTTTTACGGATCTCCGTGGCATCCATGAGAGGGAATTCCGATAAGTATTTAAAGAGGTATTAGGAAGTATAATGGGTTTTAGGAATCGTTGATGGGCCATTCAGGGACATCAAAGGGAGATATGGCACAGTGACACTTACTGCCGGTTGGGTTGGGTTTCTCTGCCTTTTCTGAGTTACAAGGATGGGATTATCGCGCGTCTGGTGTTGGGTTATTGTAAGGGTATATAGGGAGCCTGGGATTGGGACGGCATTAGGTTTATCAATTTTCCATTGTTTTCAGCGACCTATGCTAGTTTTCTAGCCCTCGATAGACAGTAAAATCGTGTGATCTTCCTTCCTGTCAGCAGCTGGCCCCTATGTTTAGCGGCTGAGCTTCTATGTAACATCGCGGTCAGACCAATCCCAAGCTCTCCTACGTTATCCGTCTCACCATCAAGTGCTGCTCATGGTAACTTGGCTGGGGTTTTACGAGCGCGTAGCTTGCACAAACTAGAGTGCCCACTCAACACCATCAGCTCCATATGCAGTACCACCCGCATTAAAGAGAGCAGCACCATCCTGGGCATCGGCCTTCGGATCATCAACCTTTGGATCATCATCCTCCGGTTCATTGTTCAAGAAGTCGCCCATACCATCGCCGCCCTCAAAAGATCCGGTAGGGTTGTGGATGCTCGGGCCGGGCCTGGGATTTGCGTCCGGCTCCTTGTATCCCCACATGAGCTCCTGGGGCAGGAACTCGTAAAAGGTCGGATGGCCGTCCACGAATTTCTTGATGAAGCCGACGCCGTAGTTCAACAGGCAAATGTCCATCTCGAACTTGAAGCCGACCTTCATCAAGGTCAAGATCTCCTCCTCCATCACCAGATTGTAGGTGACATCCTCTACCGTCTTGTGCATCGTGTTCTCCCAGCCGCTGCGAATAATGGTGGGCTTCACCTGAAGGAGGCCACAGGGCTTGATGATGTTGGCGTCATCAGTGTGCTTGTTGATGTCAGCAAGATGCTTGTTGACGCTCTTGAACTTGGCGTGGCACTCGTCGTCGGGCAGAACAATGCCCACTACCTCGTACGCCTGCTGAGTGATGGTCTTGGTGACGGTCGGGAACCCAGCCAGCTTATCGAATTTGACCCCCTTTTCGTGTCCGCAATTGGAGCTCATGAGAATGGACAGCACAATGCCCATGTTCTGGCTGGCGGTTTTCTCGTCCACTTCGTCCACCTCCTTAGGCGCCCAGACGTTGTCATTGTCGTCCTCGCAGGTTGCCAGACAGGCGGCGGCACTGAAGTCACCTGGCAAGAGGAGAAGGATCCGGACGAGCACGGGCATCTCCTTGCGGGCCTTCTGACACACCTTTTGCGCATTCCTGAGGTCCTCGGCGTGCTCGGGGCAGACGTCGTGAAGATCAACGTACTTGAGGAAGTTGGATACAACATCTACGCCGGCCGTATAGGAAGCTGCTCCGGGGGTGGTCAGACGAATCATAGTCTCGGAGCTGCAAAGGTTAGCATGACAGCCGTCAAAGGGGATACAAGTTGAACCAACAAGAATCCAGCGGCCACGCCAGTGAAGTCGATATCCCAGTGCTCCGGCTCGTTGGGGTTGTAGTAGCGAGAAGCATGCATACCAGGCTTACGCTCCACGAAGTCGTTGGCCCCGATATCATGGATGTCGTCCTTGTCCAAACCATCCAAGTCGCGGCTGGTGAACGACGCGGTACCTTGAAACTGGCGAGCGCTGGTATCAATGCCGCCCAAGAACAAGTACCTGCTGAATAACAGTTCTTTCGCGCTATCGAAGCGGCGACGGGCTCGGTAACGCTGAATGCATTCCTCGATGCGGTCAACGAAGGGTCTGTTCCGGGGGTAGATGGAGTTCCTCTCCTCTTCGAACTCTGCCGGGGTTATGGGCGGGTCGCAAAAGTACTCTGACATGAAAGCGATGTCAATATACCGTTTAAATGGGAATCGTGTTTGTGGGGTCGCGATGGAGAAATGCGTCAAACTCACCTTCAAAGCCTGTGGCGCGCTTCTTCAGACTCTTGCTCTTCTTGGACGTTTTGTTCTTCTTCTTGGGCTCTGCATTTTTGGCCAAGTCCATGTTCTCCTTGCCCTCGACAGCATCAGGACTGCCATCCAACGACGGCTTGCTCTCCTCCTCGCTTTTGGTGGTGGCGCTATCGTTGTTTGAGGACACCTTCTTGGGCACTGCAGCATCGGTCAAGGGCAGGTTCTCCTTGCCATCAACGGGGCTATTGCCATCCGACGGCTTGCTGTCCACCGCAACTTGGGCGTCGGCGCTATCGTTGTCTGCGGAAGCCCTGGCTGCGGTCACTTCCGCCGAAAGGTCGCCCGAAGAGGCGGAGTCGTTGGCGTGAGTAGACATGTTCAATGGTGTAAGTGAACGTGAACCAGATGGGCAGGAAGTGATGCAGGCCTATTGGTCTGGTGGTGGCTGTGAAAATATCACGCCTCTCCGTCCTTGTTGGCCTTTCGGTGAGTGACAGATGAGTAAGATGTGACGGTGGAGGGGTTTTCAGACTGGGCCGACCCGGACACTCGCCAACCGTTTATCCGCGAATCGTCTTGCGGCGAGGAAAACTTGTGCGGACCGTACGCGTGTGATTAGGTTTGCCAAAGCTTGCTGTTTTGCGGCTGGGACTGCCTGAGGGTTTGTTGTTGCTGCCTTTTGGTCGGTACGCGAAGGGCAAGATTGTAGAGAAAGACTGCAGGGCAGTTGGCAGAGAGAGTCTGTTCACGACGTGGGAGAATATTTGTACTGGCAAATGTATGGACCGGGAGAGAAAAGGAAGCGGAAAGAAGGCAGTAGAGGTAGTCTTGCCATAGTTGATGGGACGATTTGGAAACCTGGCACTCGTCCAATATCAACCGCTTCACTGCTCTCCTACGTAGTAAACGGGAGCATCATCGTGTTTTCATCTTATCCACGCCCCTGGCAAACCAATCCCATCCCCGACAACTTGAACCTTGCCGAACGACTTTCCTAGGAAAGATTGCAAAGTGCGTGGAAGTTGTGACCGAATAATGCGAGACAAAGTTTGGACCTTCCGGTTGTGATGAGACTTGGTGTGGTGTTGAATCGGCAGGAGCAAAGGACGTTTCGCTTCACGCGTTTGCCAAACAAGCAGCTGCTGTGCGATTTATCATATTGAAGACCAGGGCAGGTTGCGCCCTACCATAGACCTTCGACGCCTCGTTTTTTCCAGATCGAAATCGCGACGAAGAGACAAAAAGCAGACGGCTGATCTCCCAACACAACGCCTGACCGACCATGTGGATTTATACGGTCGCATGTGGTGGCAGTACAGTTACCTCTACCTCGTCTTGCAGAAATCCCTTACTCGCCGCCAAGCCTCCCGCGGATGCCTCACTTGACTCCGCACTGAAGGCGCCTCCATCTGCTGCTTTGCTTGGAGCTGGACACTTGCGACAAGCGTCGATACGACAAACATATCGATAGAAATCAAGTATGAGCGCTACCTCTTTGAGATATATGGTATAGCAGACTAAAAAGTGTCTCTCCACTGGGAGTAAACATTAGCGTTGTTGAATATTGAGGGTACACCAACCTGACAGCCTGGGTCGTTCCATTCAGCTTTGGAGCAAGTACCTCGACGGAGCTAGGTAGACCAACATTCCCAACACTACCTTGTATTAGGGCCCCAAATCTCGATCTGATCTGTGCCAGGTGTCAGATACACGGTATAGAGATCGAACAATTCGGGTTACTTAGCTAAGCGCTCGCTGCAAGTGTGTACAAAGGTACACTACTCAAAGAGCCATTGACGTATACGCGAGACATTTTAGGCTGGCAGTTTGTGAAAGGTCAGCCAGCCCACGGTTGTCCATGTGAGAGGCTCATTGTCGTACTTCCACAACAGTAAGCTGGCTTTGCCCTGATCATTCTGTCCTCCGGCTGCGACGGTCTGAGACATCAAGCCCGGGTCTACCGAGTCGCATCAACCGTCGGTCTTGCTCATCCACCAACGACCGGTTGGCCCGTATTAAACAAACCCCGCGTATAAATGCTGACTATTGCTCATCGTTGATCATATGAATGAGAACCCTTTTTGTTCAAATAGCCGCTCTGATTCGCGCTCTCCGCGGTATGCGGCGCCCGATTCTGGTTCGGATACGGCGGGCAAAGGAATAAGACTAAGACTCGCATGTAATGGCAGCGCGTCTGAATGGACGAGATGACGAGGCAGACTGCATGGCGGAACCATTAACGAGGTCACAAGAAAACGTGGCTGTGTGGCCAAACTTGGAAGAGGCTCTTCCGCCACCCTTTCAATATCGTGAAATGTTGAGATTGCGAAAGGTGGTTGAAAGACCATCTTCGATTTGTGACTTGATGAAGGCGCAGCTCACCCCCTCGCGGGAAACCCCCCGGTCTGTCCTGCCGCCGTCCAGGCTGGAAAGGTCCAATAGTGGGTCTCTGGTCTCCTGGAAGGGTCCGGTGGAGAGGCTAAGAGTGCATTTGATTGGTCACAGCCCCTCGCCCCATCTACTCGGCAACGAACCTAGCGCGCTCGCTGCATTCTTTCCAGCGCTCGTGCCCTCCCGCAAATCTGGTGCCCTTGTTGCAGCGCCCGTGCCTGTCTCGAACCGCTGTGAGGGAACTCACAAAGGAACCTGGAATGGAACACTGGCGCGGGGAGTGCGCGTTGGTGAAGCTCTCCTTCCCCAGCAAGACAAGGGCTTTACGTGCATCCTTTTGACATCGATACCCACTGCAGCCACACATTGGCAGCTGAGCACTTGTACCAGACGAGTAGAGGTAACCTCGCCGACGACCGTGGGATGTGGTGATGCATGACGGGTACCACTCCGCCTCCAACACATCGTCTTCCAAATTTGTTTGTTCCCCCCCTCCCCTTTCCCCTTTCCTCTTTCCTGTTTCCCAAAATACTTAAGCCCCCAGGCCCCGAGCCCTTGACCTTGGCCCTTCCCTTCTCCTTCACCGAATGTCAACTGCTATGCGACTTTAATCGAGCGCCCGCCACCTAAAACGTGTATTACTCCGAATAGTACTCGACAATCTGACCAACTTAAGCCCATGAAACTGCGAGCGCCGGTTACGATCCGCCCGAAAGCCGCACCCGTGCCCCTCTGCTGTCAGCTAGCAACGACGCCTCTCACCTGAACTGCCACCAAACAGCCCGCTCGCTCACCAAGGCCCATCCAAACCGCGAGGACACGACGCGCGCCACCTCCGTAAAAATCCCCGAAACAAACCGCAAATATGATGGGCTCAAAACCGATACCCAAGTCCGATAAGGAGCTTCAGCCCTACAACATGGCGGTCGCCGGCCAGTATGTTGCTTTCTTGTTTTCAGACTCACCGGCATCCGCTTTCAGGACTTGGTTGTTAATATCTCGGGCAGTGACGGTACTATGGTCGACTCTCAAGGCGAACTCTTCATCAAGCCCTGCACTGATCAGGAACTCCAGTTTTACAAGACGGCCAATGAGAGCCACCAGGCTTTCGCCGATTTGATGCCCGTTTTCATGGGTGAACTAGCGCTCAACGGTTCGACAGACGTCGAGGACATCAACGAGCAGCTCCCCGCTGTGTCCAGCCTAATTCCCACAGAAACAAAAGCCAAGGTTATCAAGCACGCGAAGGAACAAGCTGCTGAGGCCGCCGCCCACCATCCCGCGTCGAGCCGTAAACCAGGGTGGGAGGAAAAGGCCCAGTCCAACAAGATCGATACTAAGCTGTCGGTGGTACTGGAAAATTCGGCGTACGGCTATACGCGTCCTAACATTATGGATGCTAAACTCGGCAAGCGGCTGTGGGCGGATGATGCGCACCCAGATAAGAAGGCCAGGTTTGATCAAGTCAGCGCCGAAACGACAAGTGGCTCCCACGGTTTTCGCATCGCCGGCATGCGTGTGTACAAGGGAGACACCGACCCTAAAAAATTGGACCCGATGGGCTACAAGGTCTACGACAAAAACTATGGCCGGAATACGGTCAAGGGACATAATCTCGTGGAGGAGATGCGGAAGTTTATCTTCAATTCCCAGGCCGGTATAGATGAGGAACTCGGCAAGATAATTGCGGGCCTTTTCCTCAATGACCTTAGGCGCATCGAGGAGGTGTTGGCCTCGGAGGAGAGCAGAATGTACTCTGCAAGCTTGCTGTTCACATTCGAAGGAGATGGCAATGCACTGAGAGCTGCGCTTGACCGTACGAGAGCCGACATGTCGGCTGAGCAATACAAGAAGGAAGATGGACCGTACACGCCGGGTCTATCTGCATCTCGCGTTGATAGTGGCATCGAGATGGATGACGAGGGGCAGATGGTGTTCCCAATCAACGCAGCCATGAACCAAAACATGCTAATGGCGAACCTGGCTCAGACACCTGGTTCCCAGCACATGCAGTTCTCTGCGGATTCCGACGGAGAGAGCTCGAACGGCGAAATATCTCGCATTTACTCCCTCAAACTCATTGACTTTGCCCATGCCGAGTGGACACCCGGGCAAGGACCAGACGAGAACTCTCTGTTTGGCGTTCGAAGTCTGATCAAGATCTTTGAACAGCTGGCAGATGACTGAAGGGCATGTTTACCAAAAGCAAGCGTGGAGTTAAAGCGGCATTTCAAGGCGTTTGGGGTTGCGACTGTAGCTACCTTGCGAGACTACTGTTAGAGCATGTCACGGGAAGGCTAGAGGCATAGAAGGAGACGAAAGGGAAGAGAGCAAGCATATACACATATATATGCATGGATAGAGGAGAGGTTTCTAATGTCCGTTATGGACATCATCGAAAGAAGGCGAGCCAGCTATACGGGTCTATTTGGGGGACGGCTTTCTTTTACTACAATATACCCCTCATTTTCATTGTACATGGTTGGTTACCTGATGATCTCGTCAGATCTCTAACTTGACTGTATAAACAACCATGTGCCATGTTTGACTGTTCTATTCTTGGTCAAAATAAGGTCAAAGTTGCCAAAGCAAATCATTCCTTTAAATTCTGCCAAACACCCTAGAAAGGGCAGGTTACCTATCTCTTACAGGAAAGAATCTTCTGTTTGTATTCGGCTCCTTTAACACGATTTCTAGGTCCCTTCAACACGTGAGATGGGATAAAAGTGTGAAGACTGCCTGAGAGAACAATGCATTTTGACATGCTACCTCCAGGGTACACAGCGTTTGCGTCCCACTGCAGCCGCTAAATTCAGCTCCAACAGCCTTGCTGCAGTGAGCATCAGCTCTTCCACCTGCATGCCACCATCATCCTTGCACGCCAAAGGTCGGACTTTACAACTTCCATTGCAACTGGCGCAAACGTAGACGAACCCTCTGCCATACAACACAAAAGGGACAAATAATACATATCCAACAGCTTGTGAATTTATACCGTTCACACGCTGAAACATAGCCCACCATGTCAATTCCTGGCCTTGGTCAAATAGCCCCACAGGTAAACCAATCAAGAAGCTCTCAGGCGTGCTTCGTAGAGGCGCGCCGCGTATCCAACGTCATCGCCATCCCCTCCAAGCCTCTATCCCTTTGTCGCAGTCGTGACCCCTGTATACAGAGATCATGCCAGCTAACCAAAGCCCGCGATTTGCTGTTCTACGAGAAATCTAGGCTCCCACATCTACTCAGCGAACCATCAACCTCCGACCGTTTGGCGAATGGCGCTTCTCCATCCCCCACCAACACAGCACCTTCTCCTCGAACTCCTCCGCCGCCGGCGTCACAGTCCGCCTAGTAGCCGGCACCGCTGAACGCGACGGCACCGAACTCACGCCTCACAAGGACTACACGTTCCTCCCGGGTACCAAATCGAAGCTCTTCACAGACCAAGGATGCACCCTCGAGATCAACAACACGGGCGGCTACCCCCTCGAAGACCGCGTGGTCGAATACCCGCACCCGGAACAATCGCCCATGGTTAGCTATATCAACCTTCATTTCGGCTTAGAAGACTACGAGCGCGCCGCGGCCGCCCATCACGCACAACACCCACTACCACACCAACAACAAGGGAGGCAAGGAGGAGGAGGACCAAGGCCGAAACCTGGACCAAGAGTGCTAGTCTGCGGTCCCCACTGCGTCGGCAAGACCTCCCTAGTCAAATATCTCGGCGCCCTCGCTACGCGCATGGGCTCCCAGCCGCTGGTGGCCAATCTGAACCCCACCGACGGCCTGCTGTCTCTGCCGGGGACGTTGAGCGCGGCCGTGTTCGGCACGCTGATGGACGTGGAGGAGCCGGCGGGCGGGTTTGGCGTGTCGAGCACGCCGATTAGCGGGCCCAGTCAGACTGTTAAGAACCCACTTGCCTTTTATTTTGGGCGTGAGAAGGCCGGGGAGGACGTGGAGACGTGGAAGCAGATGACGGAGCGGCTGGCGGTGTTGTGTAAGCGCAAGCTTGAGAGGAATCGGGATGTCAGGGTGGCCGGATTCTTGGTTGATACGGCCCCCGTTGATGCGGGAGATAAGGAGGGACAGGAGTTGTTGGCGTGGGGGGTTAGGCAGTTTGATGGTGAGTGTCTCTATCGCCCCCAGGAATGAAAACAACAAAGGTCCTGAAAGCTAACGATACGACTATATATAGTCAACTACGTCGTTGTGATCGGCTCTGAAAAGCTAAAGACAGAACTCGGGCAACGGTTTGCCAGCGAAAAGACGAGCTTTGGAGAGCCGGTCACTGTTCTCGGTTTCGACAAGTCGGACGGCGCTGTGCAAATTGACAAGGGATGGAGGCAAAAATCGACAGAGACGGCGATCAAAGAGTACTTCTTTGGTGGCATCAAGGCGCGACTGAGCCCTTTTACACAATCGGCCAGCTTCGACGAACTGGTCGTTTTCAAGGCGCCCGATGGTGAGTTGTTCTCTCTGCCCACCAACTACGACACTTCCACTTTACCTACCTGGTACCTAAGCTAACTATGCGACTTCTTAAACAGACCCCTACGAAGGCGCCCCAGTTCTCGAGCGTGTTGAAATCACCCCCGAAATGGCCCACTGGACACTAGCAGTCATGATCGCCTCTGTGACCGACTCGCCGCAGGCCATCCGCTTTTCTTCCGTGTTGGGCTTCATCGTCATCGCTGACGTGGACGTGGAGCGCCGGCGTGTCAAGTTCCTGTCGCCCGTCAGCGGTCGTCTGGGTAACCACCCGCTCATCTGGGGACGCTGGCCGGAACCGTATCTCAACTTGCTGGCGTAGGCTCGCCAAAATGTGATGTGGGTGCGACTGGGACAAGGTGAACCAGGACAAGATGATCATGATTTTGGTCAGCGGATGATGAACCTACAAGAAGAGAGAAACGAGCTTGCGGTTTGTGTAAATGCGTGGCGGGACTTGGTGGCGGATATGGTCGGCATTTGTTTGGGTTTCGTGGTGGGATATGGCGATGGTGAAAATGGAAAGGGCATTTAAAAGGTGTTTCTGTTTTGTTGCTTTTAGATGGGTATCATTACATACCGAGCATGAGAATCAGCGGGAATAGATTTGGTGCATTCTTACTTCTCTTTTCGTTGCCGGTTTCGTTTTCCCCCCGAAATGCAAAGTGTCACCCAGGAACGTAAAGGCATCAGTCAATCAGTCAGCTGTAGGCATTGGACAGCACTCATACCCAGCAATAATACATTCGGATATGTTGCGTGAAAAGACAACACGGGTTGAAGTCTGATCAGATTTCATGAAAGCCTCTCTAATTGATATGCAGCCTGTGTATGCTCTTCAGAAGATAGAATACATTGTAGCGTTCGTTTAACCAGCTGAAATACAATTTGAAATCCCGATATGCTGCTTCTGAACTGCCGTGTCTACGTTGGTTATTACTCCTGCTCTCTCTTCGTCCACTATGATACTAACGATGACGATACAAGCTGCTAAATGAACATATGACTTTCAGGCTGATGTGACTTACGATATTCCATTCGCTAGGCAACGGTTGCATATCTTCTCTATAGTTCCTACGCTTGTGTCAACTTTGTCAGATAAACATCGATGCCATTGAAAATGGTTGAAGCCGCTTAGGGCTTTCGCAGATTTGATCTGTTCATAGCATTCAACAACAATCCCCAAGAAAATCTAGAACGCCCGCATAAGTTTGTGGGAATGACTTCCTATCTTGCCACTTGGCTTATAGAAGACAACTAGATACGTATTGCCCGCTTGCGCCAACAACACGCCGAGTTTGCTACTCCGTCTGTATTTTCTCTTTGTCGTCAAGCAGCTTTGTAGGTAGGTAGGTAGGTAGGTATTCGAAATCTTTAAACAGCGGTATGTGTAATACCTCCAGATCACGACGATCACATCCGGGATATTGGACAACGCATGCAGCCCTACTACATAAATACCGGCCTGTCATGTAGTACTGGTAAAGTTCTCTAGTATGTTACTAATCATTCGGCGACCGACCACTTTCCCCCATAATGATGATCAAAACCGTTAAATGTTGAAAAATGCCTGATGTCGTTATTCTACCCTAACATCCAGGTTAACCCCCGTGATAGCCAGTCATCATCTGAAATCAAGGCTTTCCCTGCTTTCCAAAAGGATAATCAATGGCTGAATGGGTATTGTAACCGGGACGGGGAGGACGGGAAATGGGATACGGGAACCGTTAAAGGCTGAAGGGGGCTTATCTCATATCCAAGGTTTGAGTGACAGCCATATGGCTTTCCCGTCATTGTCCGTTCGTTCATCATACCCCGTCATCAGGGCGTCAGGGAAGTTCAGGGAAGTCAGGGACAAATGGCTGGCTGGCTGGCTCGCTGGTTACGGTAGCCGAAGGCCACAAGACCCCCCCCTTCCCTTCCCCCCGACCCTTTCCCCCATTTTAACGAAGAAGGGATACCCTGGACTTGGAACAAACGAACGATCTGTCTCTCGCTCATCAGCTCGCTCCACGAGAAAATCCCGTCTGTCCCCCGTTGGCTCATTGAACACTTGTGCACTTTTTGAAGAAATGGGACAATTGGGAACAATTTGGAAAATTTCTGTCCTGTAATTTGGTTGGTATGTACTGCATTGCAAGCATGGACGCATTTGCAAGAAGAAGAGGGACAAGAAAATAAGGGCGGAAAGGTCTTCCGGTTACGGGGCTTGGTACAATGAATCGTAGCCCCACCGTTCTGCAGGTATTAATTACGTTGGCGAGAAGAACCGTTGTTGGCAAGGCGTTTCCTTTCTCTCTCTCGACTCGTTTTCTTTAACTTGTGAAAGAGTGATGATGATGATGATGATGATGATGAGACGAACGGGGTCGTCGCCCTGGATTCCTTTGGCCCGTACGAGAGAGAACTCCTGGACCGGGATGTGGTCTGCCCCAATGCCCCTCCCCCCCTTGAGACTCTCGGGGAACAGACCCGGGGAGGGAAGTTTGGACCGGTTGTTGTTGGGCGGTTGACCGTCTTTGTGATGGATGATGCTTCAAGGTGAGATACCAGGTCACCTGGATCCATCACAACATACCCGGCTCGCTCTGTTGGTTCGTTATAGTTACCTTATGGAAAAACATCTGATACTCCTTGACCGCCGGGTTTTCGAACGGGAGAGGGAGTCAGTCGCTCGCGCGCGGGGAGCTTCGGGTACGGAAAACGGGCGGTTCGTTCATCTTGAAGACACATGAGAAAGGACAACGGGGACGGGATTGGACGGAATCATCCCGGTCGCTGAGGAAGGGAAAGGCGGACCCCACTTTGCAATTCCCGGCATGTGGTACCCGCTATCCCCGTCTGTCCTTAGGTTTCTCGTTTGGTGTCCGTGCCAACCCGGCCCGCCCAGCAAGATGGACGAGCTTAACCAGAGTGTCGGGAGACGGGGAGATGCGACGGACGGACCGGCTGGCGCTGCGTGACCATTCAGTTCTTCCCTAATTCAAGATGGGCAGGTCCAAATGTCACTTTCACTCGATGGCCATTTTCACCCCTTGAGGTCCCCTTGGGATCCCCATCTTGGTCGCCGAGCTCTCCTTTTCTTACTATCCAAGGTCTGTCTTTGATCGATCGGGTAGTTCCTTGCGAAAGTGTCGGAATATTTTGTGCGGGAAGAAGAGGGAAAGAGAAAAGAAAGAAGGAGAGACAGCGCTATTGTCGCGTAGGAGCCCAAAGGGTTCAGATATCTCGATACCTTGTGGGATTTTGCTTATTCTCACGCGTTGGTGGCGTTTGCCTAGCGGTTGGATATCTCAATGCCAGTCTTGGGCTTCTTGGCCCTCTTTGGCTGGCCTCGGGGCTGAGAGGGTCGGGATGGCTGGCTGACGAGCTGTCACTTCCGCAGCTGTTGTGACTGGTGAAGTGTTCACTCTTTTGGGACAACACGGCGAATTCCAAGTCGAGTGTGTTGGCTCGGCGCGGTGTGCTCCAGTCCGCTCATTTTCCAGTTGTCTGGTTCGGTTCGGCCGGGAAAGGGTTCCGTCCGCTTTTTGATTCCTATGGCCTAGCCGTATGTGTATCTCTTGTCTGTCTTTCCGCTTATTTCTGGACTTTCTCTTTGCCTCATCTTCGGGAGACGAAACTGACAGACCGCACGCCCGCAAAATGGAGCGAGCTATGAGCGAGAGAGGGCTAGTTGCTAGGTTATCAGCGGGGTTTTCCTTAAAATCTGTATCCACCGGAGACGACTCCGATTTTCTGTGGCTCTGTGAAGCATCAAGAAGCCAAGGAGCAATTTCCCGCCAAAGAGAACCTTGACGATTTCTAAAAAGAGTAACCGCCAGATAGTCCGCCTACGACCCAAGTGAGATGAGCAGAGCCTGTGATTTGCGCGCGAGATTAACGACTCAGATTCGTGCTTGCTGATCAGCAACACCAAGCCCGAAAACGGTGATTTTTGTCGTTGCGGCCCCGGACTTTTTTGACTCTGACGAGATCTGCAACTGTCTCTGAATCCTGACGATGGCGAGGTGCTCACCCTTTTTACTCGTCCGCTGAAAACCCTTTTGTTTCAATGCCCAACGCCCACTGGATGCCGTACCTTGTGTGTCGAGATCCCTTCATGCCACCGTGTGGTGCATGCCCGATCTCAGCGTTGTTTACCAGGTTGCTGAAATGACCCTGACCTTGCTACAACCACAAGCCCACCATCTGGCTCGCCTCATACAATGCCTGAATGCCCGGTGTTGCGAGCGTTTTGAAGCGAGCGAAAGATATCGCGGAGCGGACTGGATGTGGATGTGGTCCCCTAATATCCAAATCTGAGACTCCCACATGGTAGCGGCTCGTACAGTACTCTGCCCTAATGGCGGCGGCGACATGTGGCAGTGAAGCATTGCGAGTCTCGCTCGCTCCTTGGTCGCCGAACTGTAGTGATAAATGGGGAGGTGAGATATTTCATATGTTTCGGACAGAGGCGAAGACTAGACTGGATCTCATCGGGTCCTCAGCCACGCGTCCTGGTTGAGGATTGCCATGTCGAGTCGAGATAATCCCCCTGTCTGTCGAGTTGATCACCCCTGGGTGAAGAGAAGAGCGCGCTGGTTAGCCAAAAGTTCTCCGGGTGAGACCACGGTTGACGGCTCTTCTACCCTTGATCAAGGCCAATCAAGAAACAGCCTCAAGCTGGTGGCTTGAAATTCTGGGTTGAAAACCGCTGGGCTGTTGCGCATATTGCGGCACTCGTCACTGAACCAATTCAACGTGTATAATAATTTCGTATGCCGGATCAGGTATCCCGCGCCAATGTCCAGAGACTGCGCAGCTGTATGTTGTACCAGATACTCACACTGATCCCTCACCTGTGGTGCCTCGTGAATAATCATCTACTCGGCACCCCAATCAGAACCAGGGCAGGAGAGGACAAAATAAATCATGCTCCGGCACTCGCACCCGGACCTTTGAGATCCAATGCTCACATCTTGCTTGCCAGTTCAGCCCAGTCAAGGCAGCATGGCTCCTTGCAGGATGATGACGAGAGAGATGCATTTCGAGGCCAGGGATTGGGGTGGGACAATGAAGTTGCAAGTGCCGGGGAATGATGTGTGAAGTTGTTGCTCGATGTGGGCGCCGTCTTCTTGTTCGGAGTCTTGGCCGTTACAAAACTGAATGTTTTTCCTACAAAGGCACAGTGCCCGTTGAAGTGGGAATCGCTTGGGATTTTGCATGGGATGGGGCCAGACTGTATGAGAATCGGATGTGCTTTCTGCTATCTGAAATGCGTACAAATTACTGCCAAATGTGTTAGCCAAGCGCAGGCCAAGAAGCACTACCTGGATTTTGCATGCAACCCGAGCCGCCTGCCAATTCATTCCACTTTCAACATCTCCTGTCCATTCAGAACAGCACTGCAACAGACGCTCCTCCCACCGCATTTCCGACACGGGTGTCAGCTGTACCTACAGAGGTATCCGACATTGGGAACTGAATTCCAAATGGAAATCACCAGCAATCAAGCACTTCGAAACTCCCTTCTCGTATACGCAGTTTTGTGGGCGTTCCGTTCGCCGAAAACGAGTCGAGGGAGCTGGCGGCGGGAGGGCGGCCCCCAGAAGCAAAGCCAAAAGCCAAAATCCAGATTCAGCGCATCGGATGCCGTCGAGTCGTTTCTCTCTCTGTCGATTCCAGCTTGTCATCACTGCAGTGTCATCATACCGCCCCAACACGCGCCCCTCTTCGGCCCCTCATCGCTTAATTTTCTTTTTCGTGGGCGCCTCACTGGCCAGTCAACGACAACCACATTTTGTGACTTGTTCGGCGGATGGTGGAGTGCCCGAGTGGTTGCCCATCACCGTCGTCGGCCTTGGATAGTGTTGGATGTCGGGTGTCTTGTTCTCTGGCATTTGGATGGACGCCGGTGTGTGCGTGATCTGAGGGAAATCGACCGACTGACCATGATGCAAGTGTGTCGGGTGCCCTGACGTCCTCTTCGGTCTTCTCATTCCTTCCTGTGTTGTTTGCCCTCGGAAGGGCCCGTTACAGGCCGTATTCACTCAAGCCGTTTCAGCCACTGCCCGGATAAGGTATCAACAATTGCGGTTTGCACACAATAATAGAACAATGTCGACTCTCTGCCACTGCACTTCTTCCACAATGAGCAACGCTGCACTGCAAAGAAGGAAACTGCAAGTGATATTGTGATGCTCCTGCTGGTGTAGTATCTTGGCACCGCATCAACACCTTCTCGCCAATCTCTTTCTTAATAAAGGTACCGCTTCTGAGAGATGCAGCGGGCCCTCCGGGAAACAGCAGCCCTTCACACAATTGAGGTTTCGCAGTTGGGCCACTGCACCATCAGTGTAGCTGGCAGCCAGGCAGCCCAACTTTCCTTTCTCCCTCTGGACAAAAACATTGCTTTCCCGAGTCCCCACTGTCTTTCATTCGCTTGCAAATCCAGCCAGTCAAACAGACGGCTCGGCCAGTGCTGGACATTAATGGACAAGGCCTGGCCGTCAGAGCTGTGTCACATTGTCAGGATTTGTCTCGAGTGGTGATGTTGATCACTTTTCGTCCGATGTGGACCGGGACGACCCAAGCGAGCGGGAGTTACTACCTCACACCCAATTTACTCCTGGCGCCTTAACAAGCCAAGCAAGCCGCAAGCCGGGCCTCGAGCAAGCATTTTGCAGACTTGACAGGGCCCGCCGCCAAGAAAGTTCCCACGATGCTCCCACGGCTCACCGTTCCGGGGTTGGATTCTCCGTTTTCCCTGGGAGTCTCAAGCCAAGCTAGCCGTCGAGATTCCACAAGTAGTTTGCCTCCCCATTTCCATCTCATCATCCTTCCCGAGTCCCTGTGTCCGTCTCGGGTCTGTGCCCTCGCTCAAACCTCAAACCGAACCAGGAAGGGGCTTTCTCTGCCTTGATCATTGATTAATCGCCCGCTAATATTACCTTCTTCAATTCCCTCTCCCACCGGCCTTGCATATCATCTCCTTCCGAATCTGCTCAAACATATTCATTCATGGGGTAACAAGGGTGACAACAACGTTAGCTCGCCCCATCGTACCCCTTTGGTACTCCGTTTACATCATTGAATCTGTTCTATTTTCACTCGTCTCTCTTCCGCCTTCCTATACTCTACTCCTCATCTATCCCTTCATCCCTCTTCATCTCAAGAGGCCGGGCCATACTCATCTTCAGTTGGGTTACAAGTCACCAACATACGGACCACTTATACAAACGCCTCCGCCGACTACATCATCGACTACATCGACTCCTAACGACGGCAAACGATCGATTCAGCGACTCTAATACGACAAAGGGAAGAATTGGGCACCAGATTGGTCACTACGCGTGTGCGTGTGTGGAAAAGGACGGTCAGACACGGTTCATTCCGGCGGGTGTTGTTTGCTCTTTCTTGCCAACAGAGACCAAAGAGCGGTGCGCTTGCTTGCATCTCATTCACTTTTTCTCGGTGCCTCCCTCGTCACTGTGACCACCGCTTTCTGAGACTCACCTCTCCGGCTCCCTCCTTCCGGACCTTCTTCCATTGTCTATCCAGCTTCAACCTCCCGCCGGCTTCTCACCTTCCACAGCCGACTGATACACATCGTTGTACCGACGTTGTTCTTTGAGTCGGTTCCGACTCTACCGACTTTCACCAACCCAGGCCCCTACATGATGCACCGGAGGACCGATGGACTGCCTTGGTGAACGTAGGCTAGACTCAAAGTCGGCCAGACAACAACAGACACGACGTCGTCCTTGCTGGCCGCCGCCGATATCTCATTATCGACCTATACCAATAGAGTTCCAAGTCATACGGTATGGCTATCATCAGTACAATCCTGGAGTCGGCCTTCGGTAGCCCGACGGCGCAAACCCACCATGGAGATTTTAGGGCTGGAATCCGGGATGAATTTGGGGAATCAGAACAGGACCGCGGGTTGAAAAACGACCTCGCCATTGTATCACTTACCTTCGCTTCCATCAGCCTCGTCCTCACTCTTTCGACCCTTTACTGGTTCGTGAAAATGAGGAAGACGTTTCGGCATGAGTAAGCAACCTGCTTCTGTTTCAAGAACTGACCAAGTACTAACCGTATTGCGAACAGACTGATAGTGTTACTTATTCAAAGTGACTTGATCAAGTCAGTGTGGTTCGTCATCCCCTCGATTGCGCACCTACTTCGAGGACCAATTCGCTCCGACTCTGCCTTTTGCCAAATCGCCGGATTCGGTCTCGCGCTAGGCATCGAAGCATCCGACATCGCAGTTCTGCTCATCGCCATCCATCTTCTGATGACCATTTTACGCCTTCGGACCGGCCTCTATCGCTATCGACACTGGGCATACGGGGCCTACTACTTCTTCCCCGTGTTATTTGCAAGCTTGGCTTTTGTGGACGGCACGGGATATCAGGAGGCTGGCCATTATTGCTACCTCCGGACAGACAAGAGTTGGGCACGGTTGGCCCTCAGTTGGGTCCCTCGCTACGTCATCTGCTGCAGCATCCTAGCCATTTACTTCTTTGTTTACTTTTACGTTCGCAACAGATTGGAGGATTATGGACGGAGAAGCTCGGGAAATATGAACCACCCGCGCTCCCGGGACACGCATGACGTCCCTCCTACTCCCCAACTTATCTCCCACGGATTACTTGCATCGCTACCAAACTCGCGAAGAGGATCTGCAGCCGAGCAGAATGTTACCGTCAAGGACCGTAACAGGTCTGTGTCGTCGATCAGCACGGTCCAGTTCGAATTGCATGTGGACGAAGCTGGGGAGCCGCCAGCTAGCAGGTCAGGACGGTCATCAAAGCACAGGCCGGCAAACATGAACTGGAGTTGGCCTGGATTCGTGCAGGCCCGATCCTCCGGAGAAAACGGACGCTTGATGGTGGAGGATCCCGATGACCCTTTGTCACAACCACTTCCTTCGCCACCGCTCCCGGTTCACTCTCCCGAGAGGCCACTTAGGGCCAGTCGGTCGGATAAGTCATCGGCCAGTCCTCGCTCCTATTGGCATAGGCCAGTCCCTTCCGATTGCTCAACTGTGCACGGAAACCACGCAACCCATGACTTGCCGCCAAGCTCCACCACCACGGTTAACCAAAGCACATATCACATCGATCTCACACTAACTCACATCCTCACGATGCTTCGCAAGGGACCTCCGCGAACATCTGACAACCCTCCCACCACTCGGCCTTCCTCGATTACCGTATCGCCTGGTTCAATTGGTGGCGACTCGGGCGTCACTCGCAACCGCGAGAGGGCCCGGCGTCAGCTCCGCGCGCTGTTTGCTTACCCACTAGTTTACATGATTGTCTGGATATTTCCCTTCCTCTCCCACGTGGTGGGCTACGACGACAAGGTCTCCTCTGGGGATCCGCCGTGGCTCCTGTTCGTGAGCATGGTCAGCCTCGGAATCCAGGGCGCGGTCGACTGCACGCTTTTCACTATGAGAGAGCAACCGTGGAAGTACGCGCAGGGGAACTTTTGCACTGCGCTGCGGGCACGGATGCGGTTTAGTGGCAGCTGGAGAGACGTCGGGTTTGCGGGCAGGACACGGGAGGAGATGTACCATGACAGCCAGCTTGCGAGGAGAAGACGGGAGCAGGAAATCGCGGACGAGAGAGCCCGACGCGCTGCTCACGAGTTCACTCAAGAGGGCGCCGATGTTGAAGCTGCAGCTGGCGGTGCTAGAGCTGCTGTGACGAAGAAGACTGGAGCCGTTGAGTGGTGGGACACGGCCGATTTGCTTGATGGGATGATCGATGACGATGAAGAACTACGTGACGATGCAGTTGATGATTTTTGGGCTCAGCTTTACCGGTTGAATGGAGGCTGATTTTGACGCGAGTCTCGGTTGAGCTTACTACCCTGCTAATCTTCTCGCCTCTTTTCTTTTTGGACACACACGCAGGTGGCTTACTATTAGTTTAGTGTTTTTCTTTTTGTTCATCTCTTTTGTTATCCTCACTGAAGTCATGGCGTTTTTGTTTTTTTTTGGTTTTTTTTTGGTTTTTCCTTTTTGTTGATTGTTGAGACCAAGCAGATTATACCCCTGGGTCGGTGGTCGTCTTTACTTGGTTGTTTTTGCCCCTGTCTGTCATGACATACGCCATTACATTGAACATGGGATCGAAAGCATTTGCGATTGGTGTTGTGGCGTTGTCAAGTTTTAGCTGCTTTCTGAAAGTTATTTTTCCTTTGTATCACATAGCACACAGAGACGGAGGGAGGGGTGAGAAAGGTGACGGTAGGTGGGCTGATTGTGGTCTTTAACTTGATAGATTTCAGCATTGTTACTTCTTATGTAGCGCCTAGCATATTGTATATACACACCAAACCCAAAACATACTCCAAACAAAGTCATTCACATACAATCAGTATATTTCTTATAATTTGGTCGATATGAGCCCGTAGGTTTCCATCATCCATCCACGTATCCAAACCCGATACTTATCCATTACCCCCAACCCTCAATCCTGCAAAAGAAACCTGTAAAAGGCCTGGGCTATGAACAAACCATCATCCACCTTATTCCTCTCCACACCACTTCCAAACAGCTCATCGTTGAAAAGGCCAATCGCCCTGCGCGACTCCAATAGCTCCTCCATGATATCCACCGTAAACTCCGGGTGGCCCTGCACTGTCAACACTTTCCCGGGGATAATGAACCCCTGATTCTCGCAGACGTCCGTAGAAGCAAGGAGTTGCGCACCCTCTGGCACGCCCACGACGTGATCACGATGCATTTGTTGAATTTTCTGTTCACCACGTCAGTCAGGATTGGCACCCCTTTCCGCTTATGCAAAATAAAAGAAAAATTAAAAGAGAAAGAAAAAAAGACTTACCAAATCCTCCCTCCCCTTGAAAATCCCCCTTCCAGCCTCCGTCAACCCAACCCGCGTCACACTAATTTCCCAACCCCTTTCGTTGCGTTCCACCGTTTGGCCCAACGCTCGTCCGACGATTTGATGTCCGAAACAGACGCCGATTACTTTGATCGTCCTCCCTCCGTTTTCGGCGTCACCTTTTGTGATGGCCTTTTTGACAAATTCCGTCAGAGTCAAAATCCATGGGTCATTCTCAAACGCGCTGTGTTTGGATCCCGTGATGAGGATTGCGTCGATTTCGGATAAAAAGGGGTAGTTGGCGTAGGGATCCGAGGGGGAGATGTTGACGACGTCGTGGGCGGTTATGGTTAGATAGGAGGAGAGTGGTTCCTGTGAAGGAGATGCGAGGGCCCGCGTGAAGAGGTGCGTAAAGACGCCGCGGTAGCCGTTGTAGCGGGCGTGTGTGCCGGCGGGGGGGGTGTCGGCTTCGAGGATGGCGAGGCGGATGAGGGAAGATGGTGGGGGGATGGTTGTGGTTGTGGAAGACATGATGGGTGGTTGGCTGATTGCTGGAGGTGATGAAAGTCGTTCGGTGGGAACGGAAAAGGGATGATGATGTAGTTTAAAAATAAGGGAGTAAAATGTCTAGTTGATGTGTAAGTGCAAAGAGGAGGCCGTTGGGACGATGTGGCTTTTAGTTTAGTGTATACTGCACTGCTGATACGTTGTTAAGCGGCGAGCCAGAAGCAGTAAAGTCCAAGAGATAAGGTCACAAGAGTTATAGGTTGTAAGTGATACGGAAGAAGAGATCAGAAAGTTGGTCAATTCTGATGTATACTCGAAAGGTTGGAGTTGATCACTGACGGGCAGCAATCGTGATAACAATCACGCCTTTGCACGCTCTCCCTCGGATTACCTAAACTTGACCAACAACCACCAAATTTTGACTCACAGTAACTCTAAGAAACCAACCGGCCGGTACTCGCGGAATCAAGGTGGCGGTTGATGCCATGGCCAGGCCGCCATGATCCGAGGCGTGGAAGGGTCCAGGGTTCAACTCCTCACCGTTGGTCCCTGGCCGCTGGCGGGGTTCTTATCGATACGAGCGACACTCACTCCGCTTTCGGAGTGACGATCAATGGGGTCCTACCTCGGTGAGCACTTGCCCGGATAGTGGGGTTGGGACCGAAGGCGGACGGGCAGCGATGGGCCGAGGCACCGCCAAGGCTGCGCCGTCCCTCAACCCGTCAACCGGCACCTGCCGCCCCTCGTCCCGTCGTGGAGTTACTGTATGACGCGCGCATGTGCACTGCAGGGACTCGGATTGTTTCTATTGTCGTACAGAGCGTAACTTACTGTTGACTGTGTCTCACAGAGAAACTTTGTTGTACTTACAGTACGGGACATCACTTGTCATAAGTATTTGAGAGGCCTATTCTACGCGAAATACCCAAGATAACAACACAATGGCGCCCGCAGCCCGGCGTGTCTCCCTCAAGAATTTCCTCTTGACAGCTCGCAAGGCGTTGCTCACGCCGCCAGCGCAACGGCCGAACCCTTTGATATTTGTCGTAGGAAACGAATCAGCAGGTAACTTTCCACGTCATCCAGGAACCGGACTCAGTCCATACCATAGTTATGTAGATCAATCACTAACAATCCTCATGGAACCAAACCACAGACCTCGACTCCCTCTGCTCCTCCATCCTCCTCGCCTACTTCCGCACTTACGACCACTGCACCAGCAGCACCACCCCCGGGGTATTTCCAACCCTACACATCCCGCTCTCCAACCTGCCCTCAGCCGACCTCGCCCTTCGCCCGGAACTTGCCGCCGTCCTCAAGCCCGCCGGTCTACACAATGACGACCTGATCACCCTCGACGGCCTCCCCACCTCCAGCTCCAATTCCAACAATGATACCTCCAGCTCCATAACGCCTGAAAACACGCAATGGCTGCTAGTAGACCACAACGCGCTCACCGGCCCTCTCGCCGCTCGCGGGTTTGGTGCTCCCGATAAAATAATAGGGTGTATCGACCACCACGATGACGAGGGCGTCGTTTCTTCTAATGTCGAGCCGCGGATCATCGAAAAGAGCGGGAGTTGCATGTCGCTGGTGGTGGAGTATTGCAAGCCGGGGTGGGAAGAGCTCAGCAAACTAGAAAGGTCGGAAGAAGGGAATGCAGATACGAGTCCGGAAGAGTGGGAAGCGCAGTTGGCGCATCTGGCGCTGGCGCCGATATTGGTTGATACGACGAATCTGACGTCAAAGGATAAGACGACGGAGTGGGATAGGGAGGCTGTGAAGTTTTTGGAGGGGAGATTGAGTGCCTCTTCAGCTGCTACTGCGGCTGCGGCTGCTGCGGCTGCTGGTAGCAGTGAAGGGAAGGGATACGAAAGAACAGCCTACTTCAACCACATCACCTCTCTCAAAGAAGAAATTGCCGGGTTAAGCTACCGCGACATTCTGCGAAAGGACTACAAGCGGTGGATGGACGGCGGGCTAGCGGTGGGTATCTCAACGGTCGTCAGGGGGTTTGACTACCTCATGACCGAGATTGGAGACCAGAAACAGTTCACCGAGGCGCTGAAGGCTTGGGCAAAGGAGCAGGAACTCGACATCGCGGCGGTTATGACGGTGTCTAATCCTGATGGGAAGTTTACGAGGGAGTTGCTCGTGTGGGCGTTCAACGAGGGGGCGGTCAAGGTTGCGAAGCGGTTTGTGGATAAGAATGGTGGTGAAGAAGGGCTGCGGCTTCAGACGTGGGGAGGTGGGAAGTTGGATTCGGAACAAGGAGAAGCGGAGTGGGTGAGGTGTTGGACGCAAGGACGGGTGGATAAGAGTAGGAAGCAGGTGGCACCCATGTTGAGGGATGTAATGAAGGAGGCGGCTAGGCTCTGATGGGGGCTAGGAGGTGGGATATCATTGACATATTAAACTGATCAATGCCCTTTTGTGGTCGATATGCCGAGTTGGTAAAATGGCCAAAAAGATACCATGACGACCAGACAAAATGTTGATAATGATGTGAATGCAAAGGTACGCCAAACTAATGATACATGTAAAAGCTTACATCCACATGCTATCGTACAATCGTCTCCCCCTTATCTAAGCACCCCAGGCAGCGGACCCGTGCAAAGTTAGCCAGAGTCGGACAAACTCGCGATCCATATACTGTGCGTCTGAGATCCTGTCATCAATGTCCTTTGCCAAAGACTCTGCCTCCGGGTCAGCAATGCGAATGCATGCCTCAAGCGCCTTGAGCATAGCCGGCGTCACCCGCACAGGCGGCTGTTCATGCCACATTTCCTCCACACACCATCTCAGAGCGTCCGTGGCCATTGCCTGGTGATCTACCGCTGCAATGCGCTCGTATACCTTGGTGTACATGCGTTCGGTCCTGCGCTCGCAATACCTGGGGAAAATGCGCCAGACGTTCCAGAACTTCTCCCAGGCGCGGTAGTGGGCGTACACGTCGAGCAACCGGATGATCTCGTCTTCGGTCGGACAGTCCATCTGGGCCTCGCCAAGTAGGTCCTCAAACTGAGTGAGGAGTCGTCGAGCTTCGGGGGTGCGGACGCCGGTCCGTAAGAGGGATTCGATCACGGCCACGACCACGTCGAACTCAATCACCTTTTCGCCGCGGGAAAACAGCATGTCGATTACATCCATGGAGAGGGAAGCCTGTTGGCGAACGCCTGCGTCAGTCGTCTCTGGTATGGCAAATATCATCCGGAGGAAGTCCACAAACTTTTCGCGCGAAAGATCGGCTGCTCCCGAGAGCTTCATTTCCTGGATAAGGTCGCCGAGTCGGGCCAGGCCGTGGTCGGGATGCTGAAGGGCACGTGCTGCCTTTTCGAGCCAGAGGCGGGCCTCCCACGCCTGGGCGGAGGGCAGATTCTCGATGGCACGGTTGAACAGGCGCATAAAGGTGCTGGGGGAACCGTCTTCGCAAAGGGATACCGCTGAGAGGGCCTGGTCCTTGGGAAGGCTGTAGAGGTAGTCCTGCATCTGGAATAAGAGCTGAACCTTGGAATCGGTATCCTGGGCCAGAAGGTTGTCAATCGTAGACGGGCTAGCGTTGCTGTATTCCCATCCAGCCATTGCTGTAGCCAAGTCAGTTTGGGAAACGTCGACGGCCTTTGCGTGCTGTCGCGCCGAGGTAGAGAAGTACAAGCGATCAGGTCTCTTCCGGTTCCGTCCACTTGAACGAATGGGTGTCGGGCGCAAGAAGGTAGAGCGCGATACAGTGTCGGGCGCAGTGGTGAAGGTGGCATCAGGAAGCTTCCCGTCGATCTTGTCCTGCCTCTCCAGACTGCGCCGCAGGATGCCGCTCCAAAGCTTTTCCAGAGCCAACTCCTCCCTCCGTGTCTCCGTCATCAGCTGCACAACAATTGTGGTCCCGCTTTGGGGCACACCGAAACCGCTTGTCATGCCATTCTCGTCCTTGAACTCCATTTCCATGTCCGACCATCCAATAGTGCCGAGATTAACGCAAATCCAACCGGTGGTGATGCCGTCGTCAGCTCCACTCGGAAGGCCCGTAGTACCGAGAAGCTTCGCCTTGCGGGCCTTCCTCCTCAGTTTTGTCTTCAACTCATTCCTTCCCAGCAAGCCGTCAGCCTTGGCCGAGATTCCACGGTTGCGCAGCCAGCGTACCAGACGGTCGGCAGAGACGTGCAAGTGACGCTCACTGCGGGCAGTGCCAAAGAGCATCAGCACCTCGGGCCCCAGAGCAGGTGGCGGATCGATCGCGCGAAGATCGAGAAGGTCGAGGTTGTCCATGCCCAGCTCATCGGATACGAACTTCACCAAGGGCTCCATCAGCTTGGGAGAACCCTCGGGAATGTCTGGCAGCGGCGGCGGCTCGTGTACGAGGGTGGGATGTGTGGGGGCGTCGACTTGAAGATACCACGGCACATCAGCGCCGCCTTCATTGCTCGTCTCTGTGCTGGCCTCTGCTTTGTTCGCCTCTGCCTGAGCATCCTCGATCTTGTTCGGTTGCTCTTGAGCGGCAGGCTCAGCGTGTTCTTCGATGGCCGGGCTAGCCAGTAGTCGAGGGGAAGGTCGGAAAGTCGAGTAGGTGACGGCCGGGGAGAGAATCCGGGTACGGGCTGCTGGAAGAGGAGCTCTGGGAGTCGCGAAGCTGCTGACGAAGAGTCGCAGAGCCGAGAACCTGCAGGCTGAGCAGGCTGAAGCTCTGAGGACAGCGGGAGTCGCGCTCATGGTTAGTTGTAATCGCGTGGGGTGGCCGCCGAGTGTTAGACACGCAGATTACGGGTCGGGAATCTCTCTCGGGTCAATCTTATTCGGAGCTGTGGTGATAGTTTGGTCGAGAGAGAAATATGGGTTGGTCTGGACAGACTGGGCCCGAAGTGTTGGAGCTCGGACAAGGCGAAGGTATATGTACAGGCTGATAAATGAAAGTACTGTATTTGTAGAGTAGTGGATAGGTACTACTCTAGAGCCACTGCAGAGTTGAATGGATCGAGCATGTTCTGGTCGCCCAGGCGGGGTGGGGACCGTGCTTTCTTCTTCTGTGAATCCGTAGAGCTTCGGGTTGCTCTTGTCTGATGTCCAATTGGTGCAGCAGTCAGGGTCGTGGCGGAACAGGTGGGTCTAATAGCGGGGTGGACCGTCGGCCGTGTAAGTGAAAAGTCAGATTGGCCAATCAGGACGCCACATGATTGAGATGGAATTTTCGTCCAAGGCCACTGTTAAGCAGATGCACAGACCAAGACCCAGGATGGGTGGGGCACGATGGGACGACCTTAACGACTGCCGCCCAGTGGGCCAGGACGCCAAGGTGGCCATCGGCTTCGGTGGCTCGGGCAGTATCAAAAAATTTGGGGAGGGTCCCATCGCAAATCCTATCGCCCTCCGTCGAGCATCTTATCTTTTACCACCAAACCATCCGACCTCCCGTCACTGCCATCCGTCCCGTCTGCTACTGCGCACACCTCACCTGCACTTTTCTTTCAAGACGCAGACAGAGAAGGAAGCGGAAGCAACCTAGGAAGACGATCAGTCCAGTCGGCACACAGAACACACGGCCGGTTGTTCCCTCTTCAGCTTCATCTCCCAACATCCGTCTTTTCTTTTTATTTACACGGCACACATCGACTTATTGCCGCCACCAAATCGAGGAATTCGAGCCGGAGAGACACCAACACCAGCACCACCATCACCACCCACCGCAATCGCATTCACTTGTCGCATTGCACAGTTGGGCCGCCTCGTTTTCTCCCATCTTGTACAATACTCGAGTCTTTGCTCAACAGATTCTTGCACATACATCATCCTTCCTTTTCCCCCCATCTTTCTTGTCCAATGTGTTATTAATCCCGATACGACCACCTGCCTACTTCGCCTCCAACATACCCTCCCGGCTCTGTTGAGCTCTGTCTCACTACCTCGACACCCTCGACACCCTCGACACCCCCGACATCTTGACAAGATGCTTCCTCGAACGGCTGCGGCCACCCGAACTCCCCAACTCAACCGCCTCGTCTCGGCCGGCTCCCGCAGAGCTCTTCCCAGATGCCCGCCTTCTCTCGGTGCCCGGGGCTCGCTGGCTTCGACCCATAGGCTGTTGTCCACCATCACCACCCAGCAACCGAGCCCGCTTAAGAGACAGCCTGCACCCCGAGCCACCGTTGGCTTCGAGCGCCATCTCGCCACTGTACTAGACGAACCCGCCCAGACTGCCACAGCGCCCTTGTACGAACTGCGATCCTTCTCTCCCCAGAACCCCTTGACGGTCCGCGACCAGACCAAGTTCTTCCCAAAGCAGCGCGTGAACTACCACGGTGTTCCTGGAGACGTCAATGAGATGTACTTGGTTTTCGAGGCCTGTCTTCAAGTTGGACGTCTTGAGCGAGCGGCTCAGGTTCTTAAGCGTTTTGCCACCTTGGAGGTTCTACCGCCAGCCGACTTTGTGGATCTCTTCAACCAGTATCTCGACGCCAAGGTTGGTCAGCTCTTGGAAGAGCCTGCCGTGGATAAGGCCGATGACATCCACAAGGCCTTCGAGACCACCATCAGCAGCGGCAGGGACTTTCCTGTTGGTGGTGAGACTGTCGCCTTGCTTCTCAAGGCATCTCTCACCTCCTCGGATCCAGCAACAATGCAGCGTTACGTCGACAGATATTTGAGCCTGCTTCCCACACAGACCGCCCTCGAGACCGTCTTCAACACCCAAATCCTAACATACGAGGAATTGACAAAGGTTGCTGAGCTGTGCCCCAAGTACAACATGCCCGACAATGTGGATCCCGAAGCCTTTGCACAGCAACAGCAAGAGCAACAGCAACAGCAACAAGAGCCAGCTGTTGGCCAGTCTGAAAATACGACCGCGCACTTGCTTACTTCGGGTGAAGCCTCTGCAGTCCCCGAAGTTCTTGGCACTCCGCAAAAGGGATACGGTCTCCAGTTCGTCAAGCGGACAATCAGCATGTTTGCGGGCATCCCGGACGGTTTCGACATCTCGACATTGCCTCTTTCTCAGCAGAGGGAGATCCAGTCCAAGTTGGAAAAGGACTGCATTGATGCGTCGCTAGCACGCTGGCGAGAGGAGAACGAGTCGCTTCAAAAGATGGGCCTGAATACCTCCCTCGACACTCCATCACTCAATTCGAGGCTCTACCAGTGGCAGAAAGACCTTGAGGCTCGTTTGCTCACCATGCTTGAGGAGGTGGAGGAATCCGAGAAGGCGACCAGAAAAACAAAGGAGGATTTGGATCGCTGCATCTACGGCCCCTTCCTAAGGCAATCCAACCCCGAGCGCCTGGCCGCGGTCACCATCATCAGTACACTCAGCTCGCTCGCCATGGGCGGCGCCCACAAGGGGGCCACGATCGCATCTCTCATCACTCACATCGCCAAATTTGCCGAAGAGGATATCAGGGTACAAAAGGCTGAAGCCATGCTCAGCAAGAACACCCTCCGAAAGAGCAAGGTTAAACAGTACAACCCCCGCTCATTTCTGCGATTCACAAACACGACTGCTTCTGCTGGCTCTGGTGATATGGCCGACTCCAACACCGTCGACGTGGTCATGGAGGAGGAGGCCTGGACGACTTTGATCCGAACAAAGGTCGGCGCGGCCCTCCTGTCCGCCCTTCTTGATACGGCAAAAATCAAGCTTGTCCGCGAGGATCCCGCGACCAAGACCCTTGTTACGCAAAACCAGCCCGCATTCTCCCACGTCATGCAACTAAGGAGAGGCAAGAAGGTTGGAACCATCATTCCCAACAAGGCCGTCGTCGACCTCTTGGTTCGGGAACCCGTACCGGACTTTCTCGCTCGCCATCTTCCCATGGTTACCGCACCAGATCCCTGGGTATCGTTTGAGAGGGGTGCCTATCTCGAAACCAAGACCCCTGTACTTCGCTTGAAGAACGGTGAGAGGGAGCAGAAACTCTACACTGAGGCGGCCATCGCTCGCGGTGACATGGATCAGATCTTCAAAGGTCTCGATGTCCTGGGCAAGACAGGTTGGAAGATCAATCACCCAGTATTCAAGGTCATGCTGGAGGTCTGGAACTCTGGCGAGCAAGTCGCAAACATTCCTCCTCTTAACCCTGTTTTCGAACAACCTGCCGAGCCGGCATCCACCGAAGACCCGACCATTAAGCGTTCGTGGCTCAAAGCGCTCAAGGCTATCGAAAACGAGAGATCCGGGTTGCATTCGCAGCGGTGCTTCATGAACTTCCAACTCGAAATTGCCAGGGCGTACCGCGATCAAACTTTCTACTTCCCACACAATGTTGATTTCCGTGGACGCGCCTATCCAATCCCCCCTTATCTCAATCATATGGGTGCTGACCATCTCCGTGGCCTGATGCTTTTTTCCAAGGGCAAACCATTGGGAGAGAGCGGCTTGCGCTGGCTCAAGGTTCACCTTGCCAACCTTTACGGCTTCGACAAGGCTAGTCTGCAGGAGCGTCAAGAATTTGCCGAAGAAAACATTGAGAACGTCCGGGAGTCGGCCAGAAACCCGCTGAACGGAAACCGATGGTGGCTCAAGGCTGAGGACCCATGGCAATGCCTTGCTACGTGCTTTGAGCTCGCGGAAGCACTTGAGCTGGAGGATCCTACAAAATACGTATCCCATCTTCCGGTACACCAAGACGGAACCTGCAACGGACTGCAGCATTACGCTGCTCTCGGTGGTGATACATGGGGTGCAAAGCAAGTCAATCTGGTTCCTGGAGAACGTCCTGCCGATGTCTACTCGGCTGTTGCCAAGTTGGTGATTAAGGGCATCGACGAAGATCTCGCCAAGGACAATGAGTTTGCCAAGGCCATGCATGGTAAAATTACACGCAAGGTGGTGAAGCAAACCGTCATGACCAATGTTTACGGCGTGACGTATGTCGGCGCGAAGAAACAGGTCCTGAAGCAGATCGACGCGGCGTACCCGAACCTCATGACCGAGACGGGCATCGAACCCCCTCTCGCAGCCGCATACGTGACGCAGCATATCTTCAGGGCAATGTCCACCATGTTCAAGGGCGCTCACGACATTCAGAACTGGCTTGGAGAAATTGGCGGACGTGTTTGCCGCGCCTTGACGCCCGAGCAACTTGATGAGTTTGAGAGATCGGAACGGTTTCCTCAAGGAGACGGGACAGCAACCGACGGGAATCAGACGCTTGCCGCAGCCCCCAAGAAGTCAGCTTCTCACAAAAACGACGAGATTCTCAACAACTTCCAGTCAACCATCATCTGGACAACACCCTTGCGTATGCCGGTCGTTCAGCCTTACAGGAGGCATGGGACCAAGACTGTCTCCACGTGCATGCAGGATCTTGTCATGACGATCCCGGAGAGATCGGATCCCGTCAACAGGAGGAAACAGCTACAGGCTTTCCCGCCCAACTTCATTCACTCGCTTGACGCTAGTCACATGATTCTGTCGGCGCTACACTGCGACGAACTGGGACTTACCTTTGCCGCTGTCCATGACTCGTTCTGGACTCACGCTTCTGATGTAGACACCATGAACACCGTCATTCGCGATGCTTTCATCCGTATCCATAGTGAGGATGTCATTGGCCGCTTAGCCGCCGAGTTTCAGGCGCGCTACAAGAATTCCATTTACCTCGCCAAGATCCAACAGGGCACACAAGTTGCCCAGGAGATCCAGCGGTGGCGCCAGAAGCACAAGCTCGGGCCCAGGAAGGAGCTGCTTTTGGAGAAGGAACGGCAAGAACTTCTTCGCTCATCAAATCCAGAAGACGTGGAGAGGGGCAGGAAGATGGAATCGCCGGCCAGCATTTACGAACTGTATTCGAGAGATGAGGATCTCACTGTCCCCGAGGATCTGAAGGAGGTTACTATTGGCAACGTCGGCGGTGCAGAAGAGAAGAAGGTTCGCAGGGAACGGGAAATGGATGACGAGGGAGAAGAGGCAGATGGCAGCGAGGAGGCCGTCGAGCAGGAGGATGACGTGCAGGAGGATGACGGGCCGGCTGTCGAATCCGACTCGCTTGACGCGCTGAGGAACACGAATCACTTTGCCATTTCGAAGAAGAAGGCCAACGAGTCGATCGGAGCTGGTGGCAACAAGTACAGGGCCTTTATTGACGTCTGGCTTCCCTTGACCTTCCCACCCATCCCGAAGAAGGGTGACTTCGATGTCCGGTCTTTGAAAGAAAGCACGTACTTCTTCTCCTAAACATGGGGGGACGCCGATGTTTTGTCTGTCTCTCTGTCAATCCCGGTGTATAGATATGGAACCGGAGATGGAAGTCTCCGCAGCGAAGGAGGAGGATGTTCGATAGCAAAAAGCGATTCCATGGGCCGGCGTTCTGGAGTACATTCTGTATATAGATGTCGACACATGTATGAGTTGGTGAGCATTTTGGGCGTTCGCGAAGAGAAAATAAAATGGGCTGGATATGGAACGGAGGATGGATGTTGTGGTTGACGGGAAGAAGTTTGGCTTTTTTGTGTACATTACTATCGTTAACCTCGATTGTTATTTTTGAGCATACCATGACAAATCTCCCCACGGTACTGAGCTGCCTTGCGATCTGCATGGACTTTGTATATAGATTGATGCGCTTGTTTATACTTGGTTTGCTTTCCTTTTCACCACTCGTTTCTCTTGACCTAGTCCTTGTTTGATATGACGAGAGTGACTATCCTTCTGTGATCTCCATGGGCCGTTCCCAAGAGTCAGGTCTCAGCGACTGGGCCAAGTGGGCGGTCAGCATTCCAGGACATAAGTGTCGTGATGTTCAGAGACATGTAAACAGCAACGCCGACACGGTATAAACCAGACAAACTCGTTTCTCAGGATTGCGTGGCCACGAAATTTATCAACAAACAAAACATCACATCACGAAATACCCGTAGCATTAAACGTCCTACCATAGCATACCACAACTCATCTTGCTTCCAAAGGCACCTTGGTCCATCTACCTCTACAGAAACTCCAAGTTAACAAACTACAACATCCACTTACTCAACCACGCAATCATGTTTCTCTCCCTCAGCTCCAGCAGCAGCACAACCATCGCCACCGCCGCCGCTGCCCTCCTAATGAGCAACGAACCAGGGGCAGCCTCAGCCCCGACCTCATCAACCAGGAGCTTCTCGACTTCAACTTCGACAAACCTATTACTCCCACTTTCACTCTCACTCCCAGTCACTTGCTCCCCCAAAACGCTCGCAACACCCTGCTTCACACACACAGCCACCACTAACCCGCGCTATTGTCCCCATATGGTCTGTCTCCGCCTACGCCTACTGCCGCTGAGTCTACTGCTGAGTCCGCCGGGGGCATGAGCACGGGCATGGGCATGGCTTGTCCGTTGTTTGTGAGGGTTACTAGTACTGCTGCGGTTCCTTGCAGGTTAGTTTCTGGTTTTGTTTTTGCATATGACGTCGTGCTCTGCATGATCTTGACTATACACTGCGGCTGAGGAGTGGCTGATCCGGCTGACCGGCTGGCTGACTGTGAATTGTTACGACACTAAATAGTGATGAGTGTTGTCCGACTACGTCGACGGAGTGGGTGACGAGGCCATGTCCGACTTGTGTTAGGGGGTGTGTGGTGCCGACGGAGACGGTTACTGTTACGACGGGGTGTGAGGGCAGTGGGAGTGGGAGTGGGAGTGGAAGTGTGACGGGGGTTGTTGCGTAGGTGGGAAAAGATGTTGATGGGGGATATCATGAGATTGAGAAGCGCGAAAAGGGTAGGGGAGACCTAGACTTCTCACATAGAAGTTGAAGAACTATAAAGCCCCCAATATGCCTTTGACATCATTTCATTCATTCTATATCCCCAAAACTTTTTATACGCCTTATAGCAACTTTTACCTAACCTGGGCACCGGCCAAGGTGGAAACAGTGCAGACACCGCCGCTTTCAGTCACCAGCTTAGCAATGCCGCTCTTGCCCTCCAAGTCCTTGACATCCTTGCACGCATCAACATCAAAGGCAACCTCAAGGGAACCAGTGGTGGTGAAGCCGGGCTGGAAGGTCTCCCAGACCTTCTTCTTGGGGTTAAGGACCTTCTCGGGGGTGGTGTTGAAGCCCTCGAAGTAGACCTTCTCGCCGGCCTTGGCATCGGCGGGAGGGTTGACGAGCTCGACGGGACCCTTGTGGTCGTCCTCGACGCCCTCCTGGGGCTTGGGCGAGGCGGCGAGCACCATGGCGCACGACTTGATGCCGCGCATCTTGACAGGCTTGAGGTTGCAGACGACAACGACCTTGCGGCCCTGCATCTCCTCGAGAGGGATGAGGCCGTTGAGGCCGGAGCAGACGGTGCGGCACACCTGGCCCTCGTACTCGGCGGTGTCCTCGGTGCCGGGCGCGTCGCCAACGGCGATGGTGGAGACGTAGAGCGAATCGGCTTCGGGGTGCTTGATGGCCTTGAGGATGTGGCCGACGCGGAGGTCGATGAGACCCGGAGAGAGGGGCGCGGGAGGAGGAGGAGTGGCCTTAGGGCGGCGGTTCTCGTTGACCTCCTTCTTCTTCTTCTCCTTCTTGGGCTGGGCAGCGGCGGGGGCAGCGTCGGTGGCGGCCTGGACAACCTGGTCCTTGACTTCGACGGCCTTCTCGGCAACGGCGGCAGCAGCCTCCTTGGTGCGGTCGACAACGGTGGCGGCAGCGCCCTGGACGGCGGCAGCGGCGGACTGAGCGGCGGCGAGGGCAGCGGCCTTCTCCTTCTTCAGGCGCTCCTTCTCGGCCTTGGCATCAACGGGAGGCTTGACGTAGAGGATCTCATCGGCATCGATGGCGATCTTGTCGGTAACGTTGAGGCCGAAGAGGGGGCTGTTCTGGACAAAGTCGACGAGACGGACAATGTTGGGGCGGCCCTGCTGACCGGTACGCTCCTCGGGGGACCAGGCCTTGACGAGGGGGGCGACGGCCTCGTAGATGGCGATGTCGGCCTTGGAGGGCTTGGTGCCGAGGACGGTGGTGCGGGTAGCGAGGTCTTGGTTGAGCTGGTTGAGGACGGACTGCTTATCGTCCGAGGCCTTGATGGTGTCGGCCTTCTGGATCCATTGCTGGACCTCCTTCTCCTCGGCGGGAGTGTACTTGTACGTGTCGAGAGCGGCCATGATGCGCGAGTTGAGCAGCGAGATGGAAGTTGGCGAGACGAACTGTCGCGAAAAGACGCTGCGGAGAGCGGGACGGGCGAAACGGAGGGGGAACAGCTTGAATGACGTTGACTCCCGGTATGGAGTGTGTTTGTTACAACAGTCGTACAATCACTGTGTTATGTTTGGACAATATTTTTGAATCTCAAATTCCCAATTGCGGGGCATGCCACTTTCCATATGGGGAGTTGAGTCAAATCGGACGGGACGAGGGGCAGCTCTGAGGCATGGAGGCCCGTGCTGTGGCAAGCTTCAGGCGAGATTCCTGTGCATGTCCTAGGTAAACGCTTATGCCAGAACTGCATAGCGTCACGTCTGTTCAAGCATGGCAGGTTTATGACAACCTTTTCTGCTCCAACAGTAATCTTAACTTGATGTCTGTCTATTAACATCGTACATTGGACTTTGAATTCCAAATGTCCATTTTATCCTTCTCCCAGTTATTTCATCATGCTTGACACCACATCTTGGAATCCCTTCATCACATTCGTATCGCTATACGACTGTGCATGGCCCGTGCGCCCATGACTGCCTAGACCTCGTGACGTCGTGGCAGCCTGTGCTACCAATGTCGCGTCGTCGCGTTTTCTTTAATTGACAAATCAATGCGCCTCGGCCCCAATTCCCATCGTCAATTGCCTCCCAAACTCGCACTTCCCGATACGATCTTACTCATATGGCGATGGTAGTTCTTCTCTGAGTCCGTCGTATCTGTTTTTGTTTTGCCTTGTGCCAATTGGAAGTCCCATCTTCCTCAATCCCTTGCTTTAATCCCCGACGCTCTTGATCTCCCTTCCGTTTGTTCCTTTGTGGGTGGCGAAGAACCAACCACATCAAAGACTGGAGAACCAACCACATCAAAGACTGGAAGCTTTCTTTTTTTTTTTTTTGCTTCTCCAAGTGTCACATAAAAGTTTTTGGTTTTTTTTGTCCTTTCCGATTTTGCTGGATTTGAAGCCTTTTTTTCCCATCCACGGATCTTAACCATTGCCAAGTCAGCAGAAAACCCACACGGCCATCAAGGTACACGCCCGGCAAACACCCTTGAACCATGCCGTCGACATCTTCATCAACGTCGTCCGAACGCGACTCCGGTAGCTCAGGCGCCCGTCCCGACTGCCCACTAGCGCTCCTTCGTCTCCTCCATCTGAAGAGCCACTAGCCGAACAACAAGAGAAGGGGGACGACTCAAAGATGAGCTACACAAAGTTGCGCGCCGAGCAAAGGCTTGCTGAGGAAGAGGACAAAGCTCGTATAGAAAATGAAAAGGCAGAGGAAAAGCGCAAAAAGAAGTGGAAGAAAAGGGACCTGAGCAAAGAAGAGCGTGATGCAAAGGCAAAGGATCTCGACCAGCTTCTTGCTCAGAGTGCAGCTTTTAGCAGCATCCTGACTAACAAGACAAAGGTCCTCGGTCGAGTGGGCACTGGACTGGATGGAAAGACTCTTGGCGAACATGACTTGACCATGGCAAAGCAGCCCAAATGCGTTGTTGGCGGTACCATGAGAGACTACCAACTGGAGGGATTAACATGGATGTATGAGATTTGCGTTCAGGGGATGTCAGGAATTCTTGCTGACGAAATGGGCCTGGGTATGTTGAGTGTCCGATGTTTTCCAACTTGGCTTTGGTCTGGGCTAACGGCTGCATCTACACCAACACAGGCAAAACCATCCAAACCATTTCCCTAATAGCGCTCCTCCGTGAGCAAGAGAACTACTTGGGTCCTCATATTATCGTTGCTCCTCTCAGCACCTTGTCCAATTGGCTGGACGAATTTCACCACTGGGTGCCCTCCATCCCGGTTATCATGTATCACGGCACCCCTCAACAGCGTCAGGACATCTTCAAGACCAAGATCATGCGCCATCTCCACGGCGGCAGACCGACAGAAAAGTTCCCCGTTGTCTGCACAACTTATGAGATGGTCCTCAAGGACCGCGCCAACCTATCCAGGATCAACTGGGAATTCATCATCATCGACGAAGGTCATCGCATGAAGAATTTCGATTCGAAGCTGTTCAGAGAACTCAAGACGTTCACGTCAGCCACTCGTCTCCTCATCACCGGCACGCCACTGCAGAATAACCTAAAGGAGCTCTGGTCCCTTCTAAACTTCCTCTTGCCAAAGATCTTTAGAGATTGGGAGGCCTTCGAAAGCTGGTTCGACTTTAGCGACCTTGAAGATGAGGAAGGAACCGAGGAGTTCATTGCCGACAAGACCAAGCAGGAGCTTGTCAAGAAGATGCACGTTGTCCTCCAGCCGTTACTTTTGCGGCGAGTAAAGTCTGACGTCGCCAAATACTTACCCAAGAAGCGCGAGTACGTCCTATACGCACCGATGACAAAGGAGCAGACCGATCTGTACAATGTCATTAACGACAAAAATATCGATACCCGGTCATATCTGGAGGGTAAGGTGGTCGAGCGCCTCAATGGAGCCACATCTAGCATCTCATCATCACGAAGGAGTACTCCTCGCTCTTCCAAGGCGAACAGCGTGAAGGCGGAGCCCGATACCGTCAGCGTATCTGGCAGCTTTACGACAAAGACTAGTGCACTCACTCTCAAGGAAGGGGAATCAAGCCCGCTGGCCAAGAATGCTTTTGCAATGATGATGGGCAAACGGACACGAGGTCGTCCGCGCAAGAACGCTCTTCCTGAGCCGGAACCGGAACCTCTTGCGGAAGAGACAACACCAGTCAAACCCACTAGGGCAGGTACAAAGAGAAAGGCTGCACTGGTTCTGGAGACTCCAGCCCCAAAAAGCGCAAAGTCAAGCGGAAAGTCCACACCCGTCAGCACCCGTGGCCGCCCTCGACGAGGTAGGAAGTCATACAAAGAAGCAGACTCCGACGAGGAGAAGCTCGATGATGACGAGTTCGAAGAGAAGCTGGCCAAGGAGCTTGTGGAGGATGAGGTGCAAGACATCGAAGCTATTCTCGACGCCGAGGAAATCGAGCGCGCCCAGACCCTCGACCTAGCCAAGAAGGAGATCTCCAACAAGAAGCTTGGAAACCCGCTCCTCCAGCTCCGGCTCGTCTGCAACAGTCCGCACAACTTCTACAACCCCTGGTCCAACTCGAACCAGCCCATTGACGAGAGCATCGTCACCGCCTCTGGAAAGATGCTCCTGCTGGACCGGCTCCTCCCCGCCCTCTTCGAGCGAGGGCACAAGGTCCTCATCTTCTCGCAGTTCAAGACCCAGCTCGACATTCTTGAGGACTACTGCCGCGAGCTGCGCTCCTGGGACATCTGCCGCATCGACGGCGGCGTCGCCCAGGACGACCGACGCGCGCAGATCGAGCAGTTCAACACGGACCCGGCCGTCAAGATCTTCCTGCTGTCCACCCGCGCCGGCGGGCAGGGCATCAACCTCGCGAGCGCCGACACGGTGATCCTCTTCGACAGCGACTGGAACCCGCAGCAGGATCTGCAGGCGCAAGACCGGTGCCATCGCATAGGCCAGACGCGGCCCGTGGTGGTGTACCGCTTGGCCACCAAGGGTACCGTAGAGGAAGAACTGCTCATGAGCGCGGACGCCAAGCGCCGCCTCGAGAAGCTGGTCATCAAGAAGGGCGGGTTCAGGACCATGGGCCAGAAGCTCGACATGCGCGAGGAGGACCTGGATCGCGAGACGCTGCGGGCCTTGTTACTGAAGGACGGGCAGGTGTATAAGTTCAGTGGGGACAAGGAGATCTTGAGTGAGGAGGATCTGAGGGTGTTGTGTGATCGCAGCGATGAGGCGTATGTGAGCGCGGCGAAGGGCGAGGGCAATGCGGATGGCTGGAAGGTTATTGAGACGCAGGCGGAGGGGATCAGGACGGCGGGGGAGAAGCAGAAGAACAAGTGATGCGGCACTATCTAGTACTTTGTTTTGCTGTGGGTAAAAGTTAGAGTTGGGTAAATATACCCATGAACATCATATGGATCTCAGTCCGCGGCCACGGTACAGTGTTGATGTCCCTTTATGACGTGAAAAGTGTTTAGTTTCAGCTTAGGTGGTTCGACGAGACCTGTTGCCAGATATGCGGTCAGCCCCTTTCGGTTTGTTTCTCTTTGTTTTTCTTTCTGGGTCACTGTCAGACACCAAATGGTACTCTCATACGTCTAGGTCGCGAAAAGAAAACATTCAGTTCTAGTGAGTGGTCTTAGAGCGCATTTTACAAACATTGGGTAGATGTGCAGCAGCCGCTCTCCGGAAATGGAGTTTTTGTGACGCTTGAGATCTCGCGCCCCCTTTTGAAGTTTGAATGCATCTTTCTGAGGAAACCTTTTGACACATATATGGTCCATTCGGAGATATTCATCACCGATTGGACTGAAGAGAGCGGTTGCTTCAAAGTCAAACACCACGTAGATTTTAACGGGTAGTTCGTTGATGTGCAGAAGCACTTGTGAACCCGAAACGACGGGAGTAGAATTCAATGATGCTAAGGTTTGCGGGTGAGGTTGACATTTAATTTATTTTCTTCCTTGATGGTAGAGAAATAATAGCAGTTAGAAGAGACAGGAGTCGAGAACATAGATGCCGAGTACTGTGGAGCGAAGTAGAGAAGATGTAGTGAAGCTTTCTCATGGCTGTACGCGTTTGGATGTGTGTCAGGTAGTAATGACCGATACTGAAGACAAGAATAGAAAGATATGACGAAGGGAGGACAAAAGAATAAATAAAAAAATAGAAGGAATCGTGAAGGGATGCTGCTCAGGGCTGACAATGGGTAAAGTAGAATATGAAAAGCTCAGAGTGTGAGACGTTGCTCCGAAGCGGCGGTGAGATGTGGGATATGATACCAAGGGGTCAGACGTAGCCCCCTTTCTGGAGGAAAGCCAGCGCCTGGCACTCAGGCAGCGCCAGTGTCGGACACGAAAGGAGCACCACAGTCAGACACATATGCGCAACGTGTAATTAGCCGGAGGTGGAAGGCTCGTTCATTTGCCGGGCATGATGAACTCATCAACGTTCTAATCATGAAGGCTATTGAGTTGTTATATCTGACAGTCTCTTCATGTAGCTGAAGACAATAGGGGACCGCACTCACCAGTCTCCTCAAAGAGAATGAGTGATTGGGGTGGCACGGTTGACTTCGGCTACTCGGGTGAAGTCACTCGACGGGAGTTCTCACTGCTTTCCATGCCCATCTCTACCAACAGGAGATATGATTTAAGAGAAGTTCCGAAAAGAGGTCCCGAGGGGTTGTTTTACCTCAAAGCAAAAATCATCGTGGCACAACATACCTCAAATTGAGAAGGTGTCGATTGCTTCAGTGCTATAGGTGTTTAATGTCGTTGAGAATTTGATGTCGAACCATAAGGAGAGGTAGGAAAAGTGAGAAGTAAGGAAACATAATTCATCGAGGACAAAAGGGGGAGGATCCATATTTGACAGCCTGTGGAGCTGGAGTTGACCAGCTCAAGAGTGTAAACGTCGCTTCAAACGGCGGTGAAGTATTAGGGTGCGAAGTTGAAGAGAATGGGGGGGCCACGCTGATGGACTTGAAACGAGTGACTCGGGACATAGACATGGCTGAGTTCATCTGTTATCCCGGGAGTGATGATACTCCCAATTGTTTTTAACTGATTTTCTCTGCGTTTACCGAGAAGCAGTCAACGAGACAATAGGAAATAAACTTTTAGCTCTTTGAGCCTTTATTCTCTCTCTTTTTCCTTGCTTCTCCAACAGCTCTGGACAAAGAATGCCGAGTGTAGGGGAGGAGTGTAGTCAGCCAAACTTGCCCAAGGCAAACCAAACCCCCAACCCCCCAGATCTTGTCCGCTCCACTAGCCCCTGAACTAAGGGAAAACTTGATATAAACAAAGCGGAAGGGGGGGGGGGCAAAAGAAGAAGCAAGTGGAGGCAGTTTGCTCAAGTGAAGAAGTGTCCATCTGCGTGTGCCACGTTATGTTTCATCACCTCCACCAAGAACCTGCCGGCTCGTCAATGACAACAGGAATCTGAGCACTTTCAGGCAACAAGTGACGGGGGAGCACAGTCAACTTCATGTTTTTTTTCACCATTTTCGAACTTGAGAAGGCATCACCAGCTTTGTACAACTACGTGCAATCAAGAGTTGGTTTGTCAATTAGTTCGGTACTCCTAGCATACTGGACAAGATCTATCCCAGACTGTCCCAAACCTCATCAGGACAAATTGCAATAGCCAAGAATGGAGTCAAAAGGCATCTATGATATTTATCAACGCATGTTTAAACACCAAAATGGCATATTCAGGGTAAAACTATTACCTTGATTATGGGACGAAACGAACCAGTTAGATATGATAACGCCTAGGGAAATTGGCACAAAGTCTCGAGCTAACCAACAAACCAGTATTGGACTGGACAGATGCGTACTTTACCTCTGTGAAGAGCCATCTCGCGGTCGGCGATAACGGGTGACATCGGCTTTCGAAAGCGAACAGCGAACCTGCGAGCTTTCCCGTGATGGAGAGAGCCCACTCGGACCCGGACCCGACCCGGAACCCAACCCGACAACAAGATGGGCTCCATCGGGCCATCAAGTCACTTGACGTTACAGAATTTCTTCGGGCGGCCCTGACTTGTCACAGTGTGGACGGTTCCAATCATGTTCCAGGCTTTTTGCTTTGTCTGGGGGTCGTTTCCGGGGATGTTAGCTGGTGAGTGGGGTGTTGACTGTGTGATGAAAGCGTGGTGGTGGTGGTTAGTGGTGGAGTGAGTCGTGGAAGGTGGATATGAAATTGTCATCCGCAACCCCCACGGACTCCACGGACTCCACGGCAGGCCCGGATCCCCAGCCGGTCTGCGGCTCTCTCCATGGGGAACTGGGGGTAAGAACTGGGGATTGGGGGTGGACAGGGATGAGTTCTCCATACAGGACTCCATAAGACCCCCACGTAACGTAAAAGGAAGCGCTGGAATTCCGGGGGTGGTCGTCGACGACGACGACGTGCCAACCTGCGTCCCACTGTGGAGCGGTTTGAGAAAAAAAAAAAAAAAAGTTGCCGGTTTGGGTCGAATTTTGCCAGCACTTGCGGTCTTGGTCGTCTCTTGAGACAACGACGTTCACCTCGAGAGGCGTGGACTGACGGGACCAGGTCTAGGTCTTGCGTGCCGGCCCGAGGTTTTGGCGAGTTCCGAGACCAGTAGGTACGTATCTCGTAGAGCGGTGGACGGCGTAAGTGATACCTATAATGGTGAGCTTTTTTTGTTTCGGGATGTGGGCGTTTCGAATGGCCAAGCTCAAGTTGTCGGCTTCGTGGTGGTGATGTCTACAGGCGGTGAGTGGTGAGTCCCGGACCGAGGGAGTTTGTCCAATGTGTCCGACCAAGTCGGGGACAAGAGCCCTTAAAGTAGATTTACCTAACGTGGCCGAGGGTGCGGCTAGAAACGGATTTTGTGATGTTTCTGAGTATGAAGTTGCAAGTGATTACCTTATACAGTAGCAGTCCAAGGGGATCATCAGGGACCGGCTCCTCCGACGTTGAGGTGTGATCCAGGTCATGTATGCAACTGTATCTGTGCGCTAGGCCATGCGGCTGTGATTTGAGTTTTGGGGAAAACGCGGAGATTATTGAGCGAAACGCTCCTCGTGGGTAGCAGAAGGGGTTTTGGGGGTATCCAAAGTTCGTGATATGCTGATATTGGTGTTTGTTTGACGGGATGGATGCCGAGACAGACAGGACCCGGCCAAGCTTGAGGCTCCGGGGATGTGGGATGTCACCCGGCACCGCCCGTCCTGCCCCCCAGGATATCGGCTTGCCGAGCATGTGCAGGGTGTTGCCCGTGGTGCATACAGCAAAGCCTGCATCGTAAACTGCTGACATCGAAGTGGGGAGTGTTGGGAATTATAAAGCAGACTGAAAAAAAGATACACCCGATTTTGCTTGTGCGCATATCTGTACAAGCGGAAGAAGGGTCACACGGGGATGGACTGCAACGGGAACTGCCATGTTATCGAGCAAGGCTTCATCTGATCGTCCAGACGCGACGCGATGAGGAGAGCTTCTCCGGACAGAAAATAGAATAGAAGCAGGTGTTGAGGAACAGAAGATGGAAAAGAGTGGCAGGTAAATGCCGCGCTACCCGTCGGACACGCCTGCGTCGGCCGAAGAGTCGAGGCCTGGTCAAGGTTTTCTGGAACAGGGAAGAGGAAAAATTCTGAGCCGGTAGGAGGTTGTCAGGTCGTCGGGGCGCCTGCTGGAATTGTCCAAGTCAAGAAAATTTAGTGGTTGCCGTTGAAGGAAAGTGATGGCCAGACGTAGTCGTCGGGCAAGCGGCACCGGCACCGGCAAGTCGTGCCTGCCGTCCAAGTTTTCTCAAAAGTTCGCGTTGATCGCTCCAAATTCCCAAAGCAGAATGTCGTGTGGGGCCATCCCGCCACGTCCGCACATGCAGGTCGCTGCCAAGCCGCCGAAGAGAAAGCGGGCTACTGCAGAGTCGGGCGCTAGAAGGGTTTTTGTTAATTATGAGTGCAGCTTGTAGCTTGTCAACTGGTCGTCGCCGTCAGGGGCGCTCTCGGCGCTGTCAAAGAGGCGTTCCCGTCTTGACTTTTTCTTGGACTCGCCTAAAATATTTCTCCAATGAGTGACTGGACGAATCCCAATTACATCATACCTTGAGGCTATTCACGAGTAAAAAACCTTCATCTTGACTCGGACACTCGACAGTTATGTCGTGTTCTGGCCACGACTGGATGGCCACCTTGTGTTTCCTATACCACATGTGGACGCTTGAACAGGAAAAAGACTCTGAAAAATCTCTGCTCGCCTCTCGGAAAGGTTGGGGAATGGAACTTTTGTGACTTGCAGGGCATCGAAGGTCGCCATGCTGCCAGGTTCCACCGGCCATCCCAGACTTTAACGTTGCAGTTCCTTGCCATGCGGGGAGCAATCCACAACACCCACGAACCGGCGGTCTGTGGATTAACTTGTGGACTCGTATGGGGGTGGTTTTGAGGGGAAGATATGGGGGGAACATTGGGGGAGAAATGATGGGGTAGAAAAGTGGAACGTCATCAAGGCCTTCGTGTAAGATGGCTGGGTTGCCCGACAGATATACTGTCTGTTTGGATCGGGTTACATAAAATGCGCCTCGACCGCCATCCCATCCCTACAATCCTTCCTCCCCATCCTGTTCCTGTTTTTTTGGTCTGGGTCCGTGGTGTTTCTGTTTCATCCTGCCTGTCCACACCAAACCAAGACATCTACAGCATGGCCAGCCTAAGGCACGAGGGCCGTGATTCCCTCTCGGGGTTGAGAAGCCGGCGATCGAATCCTCTGAAGAATACACACACAATGAACAGTCAAACATTGCCAACCTCAATGTCCGGGCTATGGCTCCCGAGGAGCGCAGTCGCATCGAAAAGTCTCTCCTTCGCAAGCTTGATGCTCGGTGCTCCTACTTCGTTATCATCTATATCTTGTAAGTAGCTCAGTTCTGTCCGGTGCTCGACAAATCCAGTGACTTTGATACTTACAACTATGTAGGAACTACCTGGACCGAAACAACATTGGTGCTGCCCGTCTCAAGGGTCTTCAGGATGATCTCAAACTGGACGACACCCAATACGCGACATGTCTCTCCATCCTTTACGTGGGATACATTCTCATGCAGGTCCCTTCGAACATGTTCATCAACCGAATTCCTCGGCCATCGCTATACATCTCGGTAATCATGTTGATCTGGGGTCTCATCTCGACCTTGACCGGTATGGTCAAGGGCTTTGGCGGCATGGTTGCCATCCGTTTCCTGCTGGGTTTCGTCGAAGCCGCCTTCCTGCCCGGAGCGCTCCTGATTCTCAGCAAGTGGTATACCCGTCGTGAGCTCACCAAGCGCAACGCCATCCTCTTCTGCGGCAACCTCATCTCGAACGCTTTCTCTTCTCTCGTCGGTGCTGGCGTCTTGTCCAACATGGACGGCGTGCTGGGTCACAGGGCCTGGAGGTGGCTATTCTATATCGAAGGTGCCGCCACCATGTTCGTCGCCGTCTGTGCGGCTTTCATCCTTCCCGACTTGCCGACCAACAGCCGCGGATTCACTGAAGAGGAACTCTTGGTCGCCCAGTTGCGCATGACTGAAGATGTTGGTGAGGCCGATAGCGACTCGGCTAATATGGGCATCTTTGACGGCTTGATCATGGTCGTCAAGGACTGGAAGGTTTACCTCATGATGTTGACCTTCACCGCATACACCCTTGGCTTGAGTTTCAACGCCTTCTTTGTAAGTTTCCATCATGATATTCTACGTCTATGGATCAGCTCATCGCTAACAAAAACAACAGCCTACACTCACTGGTACTCTTGGCTTTGGATATGTCCCCACTCTCCTTATGAGCGCCCCTCCCTGGGTCTTCGCCTGTATCTTCTCGCTCATCAACGCCTGGCACTCTGATCGCACGCAAGAGAAGTTTGGTCACATTGTCGGCCCCATTTGCATGGGTCTTGTCGGGTTCGTCATCAGCATGGCCACCCTCAACACGGCCGCGAGATACGTCGCCCTCTTCCTGCAAGCGGGCTCGTACGCTGGCTTCATCGTCTTCTACTCGTGGATCAGCTCTTCGTTCCCCCGCCCGCCTGCTAAGCGTGCTGTCGCTCTTGCCATGATCAACGCTTTCAGTCAGCTTGGCAACGTCGCGGGATCGTACGTGTGGGATCTCAAAGAGAACGGCTACCGCAAGAGTTACGGCATCGTGACTGCCATGTTCGGTATTACAATTGTCGGCTGCTGGGTGATCCGCATGGTGCTTGTCAACCAGAACAAGAAGCTTGCGCTTGGAGAGGAAAGTGCGTGGGAGGTGCACGACGATGTGGCCAACCAGACTGCGAGGGTGGAGGAATTGAAGAGCGAAGGTGCGGATTTGAAGCCACAGCAGATTGGGTTCAGATATCTTGTTTGATTTAGCGGAGGGAGGCGTAATGTCTTTAATGCGGATCTTGGTTAATGATACCCCGAGACTTTGTTCAATTGGTTGCAATTTCCCTTTGTTTTTCTCGCGGTAAATGTCTTGGAAGTTGCAGACGCTCAACGTGAACGATGACGAGTTTTCTTGTCTTCCTTCCTTTTCATTCTCAAATGTACCCCTGTACCGAGCAGTGGCTGGAATAAGATGATGCAAGAGGTCAGCTGCCTGCTGTACAGTCTTGTCTGCATAAAATGTGTCTGCTGCAGAGTTTGCATGGCAGCTCCTGCCTTTGGTACCTCGCCTCCAAAAGCCGGATTACATAACGCACAGATCTTGGGTATTCTCCCAACCAGGCTGAAGCAGCCCAGCCATTACAGCTGCGATGCACTTGTCCACAAACACTTCTCTCAATCTTCAAAGTTTCGTTTCTTACATCAACGGCGAACTAACCCCCATTTCTTTTTATCTTACATCGTCCCCGTCATCATCATGTGGCTGATCAACACAAGCACCCTTGAGCTTGAGGAGTTCATCGGCAGCGACATACCCAGTTATGCCATTCTCTCGCACACATGGGAAGATGGAGAGGTCACATTCCACGACGCCAAAGCAAAGCTACTGGAGAAGCAGAACTCTCAAGGCGCCCGCAAGGTAGCAAAAGCATGCGAACTTGCGGCCCAACAAGGACTGGCCTACGCCTGGGTCGATACGTGTTGCATCGACAAGTCCAGTAGTGCGGAGCTCACAGAGGCCATTAACTCCATGTTCCAATGGTATCGCTCGTCGAATATTTGCTTAGTCTACCTCTCCGATTTCGAACCACACGAGAATAACACTTGATGGCCGAATCATGTTGGTTTACGCGGGGATGGATGTTTCAAGAACTGATCACTCCCATCCATGTCACCTTCTACGACCAGAGCTGGGCAGAAAGAGGGACGAAAGAGGAGTTTGCAAGCCTACTCAGCAAGATCACGGGCATCGATATTAGGATCTTGTCGGATCCTTCACAGATTCATACAATTCCGGTTTGCACAAGAATGAGCTGGGCAGCTGATCGGGAAACAACACGAATCGAGGACAGGGCCTAGTCTCTCTTGGGGATCTTCGACATCAACATGCCCCTGATATACGGAGAGGGCTTGAAGGCGTTTACAAGATTGCAGGAGGAAATCATACGGCGAAGCAATGATTTCAGCATCTTTTACTGGTGCACTCTGGAAAATACGTGCTGGCGCGGTATGCTGGCTAACTCGCCAGATGAGTTCAAATGTACAGCAAAGATTGAGAATGAAGCGGCTCTCAGAAGCGGCCCGGAGTATTCCCTGACAAATAAAGGCCTCCGTATTGACCTCGACCTTGCGTTGGTAGGCCCGAACCTATAATTGATGTTCTTATACAAAACCAACTACTACAAAGATGAATGGGAATGCATCTACCTGACTGCCATTGGCGCGAAGTCATTCGCAAGAGCTCGACCACAAGAGGTAGCCAATAAAGCCCGAGGGAGTTTGCTGTGCTTCCAGAAGCAGTCTCAATACATCACTGAGGAGATAGACTCCGGGATGTCATCCGTTGCACTCAAGTCAGCTTTGGACAGGTCATTCACGTTTGGTGGCCTTTTTCATACGAGATTCGGGTACCAACTTGGCGGCACCTATCCTGAACACTGTTGGCACCACGATCATGCTGCCTTTCTCCAAGTCGGTTCCCCGCCTTTTTTTTGGCTGTCATGTCTTGAAACTGGATCCGAGACCATTTGAATATGCTGCCATCCTTGCCTTTGGAGTCTCGAAGGAAGGGCGCAGCTGGCTGTGTTTCGTGGACAAAAACACCAAACTTCCCTGGTCTCCATCGCAGCGTGTCTTGAGCAGTGCTGAGTGTCTGAAAACTCCTCTCGACTGGTCAAGAGAAGTCAGGTCAAGCATGATAGGCAGTATATCGCAATACGGGATATTTCGAGGTCAAAAGGAGGATATGCTTGTTCTAGGTCACACGAAAACTGGTCCCACTTGGTATGTTACAGCTAGACTGACTGCGGACGTGCGAGGTAGTTGCACCACGTATGTGATAAAGCTTCAAGATGAAATAATCGTGTGTTCGGAGGGGAGCCCCGGGAAAGGTAGACCGGGATCAAGAGCTCCAGACGGGAAGTCGCGGCTGATGAAGGGAATCGGCCGTTGACTGGCCGAATTAAGTACATAGGTTCATACAAAGGCTACAACAAACGATCAAACGGAAAGCTATGCGGGATACCATAATCGCGGTCTATCCGATAACATCTGACGGTCGATTTCAACCATGTCTGCCTACGCCAGGACTGGTCTTCGCAGATCACGACTTTGAGCTCACCAGGAGCCAAGGATTCCGACGCTGAGACTCCCGCTCACAATCATGGTAATATGTCTTGCATTAACCAACTCCAAGCGTCGCTACATCATCCCGACCGTCAACCAACTTTCTCTACTGCACCTTAACAACCACCTTACCAAAGTGACTTCCGCTCCTCAAGTACTTGATCGCCTCGCCGCCCTGCTCAAACCCAAACACCTTGTCTACGACGGGCCTAATCTGATGCCTCTCATAAAACTCGCACATCTCCTCGAACCGGTCCCTTGGCCCATTAATGATGCCTTTGAGCGTCACATTCCTCCTCAGCGCCAACAAGTTCAGGTTCATCCTGTTGCCTTCGCCCTTATCCTCCTTACCAGAGGTATACCCAATGCAAGAAATCAACCCGCCAAACGCAATGCAATCCAGCGCCTCGTACAATGTGCCCGCGCCGCCCGTTTCCAAAATAATATCCGCCCCGTCGTTTTCCTTGGTAATCTCCATCACCTTCTCCTCCCAGTTCTCCGTGGTCTTGTAGTTGATCACGTAATCAGCGCCCAACTCCTCCTTGGCTCTCCGCAACTTCTCATCGCTCGAGCTGGTGATGATTGTGGTAGCGCCCGCGGCTTTGGCAATCTGCAACCCCGCGACGGCCACGCCGCCGGTGCCTTCGAGCACAACAGTCTTGCCCTTCAATGGCTTCCCGTCGTGCTTAGACCAGGTACCGAAGGGTTCCATGCCGAAAATGGCCATCCAGGCTGTTACCGCAGCGATGGGCAAGCAGCTGGCTTCTTCATCGCTCAAGTACTTTGGGGCCTTGACCAGGCCCGTGGAGGGAAAAACGCGGTAAGTCTGCAATACGCCATCTAGAGGCTTCCCGAGGCCGGAGGCCATGTCGGCGCCCTTGATCTGGCCGGAGAGGTGGGATTGGTTGAAGGTGGAGAGGACGCGGTCGCCTACTTTCCAGGTGGAGTCGGCAACGCCAGGGCCGACGGCGACGATGACGCCGAGGGCGTCGGAGCAGGGGACTAGCGGGTCGGTGCGTTTGGAGAGGGTTCTGTGGTGGTTGTATTCGCCGTTGCAGACTGAGGGGTTTCGTTAGCTATGGCCCTATGGTTGTATGGGAAATTCAGAAGAGAGGGAAGTGGGTGTATGGGTGAATGGTTGACTGGTGATATTGACATACCCTCTGTATCACGATAGTTCAACGAAACAGCCTTGATCTCAACCAACACCTCATCTTGACCCGGGACAGGCATGGGCGCCGTGCCGCGGGTGAGGTTGTCGAAGCCATCTTCGAGGGTGTGCCATTGCTGGTTTTCCTTGGTTTGAGTGAAAGTAACCATGTTACGTTATTTGTGCTTCGAAATGGGGAAGATAAACTGGACTGTGAGTTTTGAGTGAAACGTGTTTGAGAATGGGCTTTGTCTTTCTATATGAACAAGAGATGGTTGTGAGAAAATGAAGTAAAGGAGTTATGTTGTTTCTTCAAAAAGTTATGATGTAACCAGCTGGTACCCTCCTCGCGATGTGGGTCACTCCAGATCGCGATTTGTAAGACGGGAGATCGCTTTCCCTTGGCTTCTCCACCCTGTCTTGGCATAAATGGTTCTCTTGAACACGATGTTGAAGTCTTTGGGACACTCCGACAGTACGCATTAGGATCATATTCACCCGAGAGAATGAATGTTGACTAAGTGTAATTTTATTCTCCTCTTTATTATAATACCACTTGTTTGCTATCCTGGGCCATGATAGACAGTGAAACCGATCCGTCAAAACACAGGCACTGTGAATCCACTCGGACGACCTCTACCGACCGACTTCCCCAGAGAAGCTTCAAGAATCGTGTCGTGAAAACAGAAGCCATAAAGAAAATGATACAGAACCCAGACAAATTAGACAACGCTTATCCCATCCTTCGTACCCAACCTTCATTACCTTATTTTCGATAAAAAGACAATTAGGTCACGCCCAGCAAGCCTCATCAAAGCTCAATCAACAACTCCTCCGTATCCTCCATGTTACAAGCCCTCGGCGGCTGAGGCAGTCCACACTCCTCGGCCGTGATGGTCTTCTTAGCCTGTCCCATTTCGCACCGCATATTATTCTCAGCCTTCCCCAAACCAGCGTTCTTCTTAGACTGCGCCAACCGCCACATCCACTCATCAACACTTCTGGCAAACTGGTAATACACAAGCTGGCGTTCCTCACTCTTTCGAACACGAGGAAACTCGCTGCTCCGAGCCATGTAAGCCACGCTTTCCATTTCCAAGTTCCATCCCGCCAACCAGGCTTGGGGGTCACGACAGCCCCAGTCTTCGGTTGGGATTGGGACTAGGGGGATGAGCTTGTTGTTATTGGGGTTTTCGGTTCCTTTGAGGAGAATCGAACCGCATCTTTTGACCTTTCGCAGAGATCGAATTGAATCGAATCTGCCCGAATAATGCAGTTCTGGCTGACGTGGGGCCGGGGGTTGAGCTTGAGTCTGCATCTTCTTTTTGGTTTCCAGGAAGGCCCTGCGCGCCTCAACAACATGCTGAACGACCTTGTGCATCACTGCGGGGTGAATGCAGAAGCACGCTCCCTGGATATACCTCTCCTTCGCCGCCCTCGCCACCAGAGGATTCGGTCCCTTGTTTAGATCACCGACGATGTTCTTGTTCTGCTTCCTGCGGTGGACTTGGATTGAGAAGAAGATATCGTGTAGGCTCTCTTTATGGAAAGCAATCTTCTCGTCATCTGTCTGGGCTTGGCCGTACAACAGCGGGCGGTCTCCCATGCTCATGTTCGCAAAGTACTCCCGCAAAAACTTGGCTGTCAGCTGTGAGAGATGGTAGACATCGGCGTCGCGTTGATCGGTGAGGCCGCCGATGAGGTTGATCGTTTCTTTGGGACTGAGGAAGGAGTCGCCGCCTGGCGGGAACACAAAGCCGGAAATCTGGGTGAAGAGCTTGGGACGGACGACGTCAAGCCACGAGAGGAGCTCGGTCCCTCCTTGCATTCGACCAACGAAGATCTGCTCGAGGCGCGACCGTTTGGTGGCTTGTTGATGGAAGAACTTGATTGGGGCTTCGTACGGCCTGTGGTTTGCAGCGTACAGGGCTACGGTGAAGGTCTTCTGTGTCGTGGTGTTCGCTGCTCGTGGACTTTTTGCGGGGATGTTGGATGTGCCGCGGCGAGGTACGAGCACACGTGGTTGTGCCGTTGTATCTTCATGACCGTGGGTCTGACATGGAGTTGGCTTCGGCAGATCGCTGAGCGTTTGTAATCGTGGTAGCGGGGTCTGTTTGGTCGGCGTGGTGGGAGACTTGTCGTTAGACTTTCTGGGGCTACTCTGCGTAGACTCGGTCGCGTATCGCGAAAGCAAAAGTGGGCTGGGATGTAATGTAATCGCGTGACGATAAACGTGGAGAAATGGGTCGGTGTCGTTCGAGTGAGGTTCTTGCTGATCCAATAAACTATCCATGTCGGTAGCAATGCTGATAGTCGTTGATATGCTGATGTTGTTTCGGTGTCTGAGAGTTGTGTTGATTGTGAAGTCCGTGGCAGCACATCTGGGCTTTAAACTTGAATCCTTGCAACTTGTATCGGGTGTCGGCTTCCTCTTTGTTCCGAGTGATTGTTTGTACCCTGATGCATTGCGTTCTTTCCCTCTTCGTTCGGAACCACCAATCTTCCTCGCTTAGGAAACAGGTGTAGTCTGATTGGAAGAGAGCAACCCAAGGTCAGCCGTCGACACCTCCTTAGAGGTTACTATCAACCCAAACTTCAAGCCTGATGGAAAATCTGACTTTAGGCATAGCTTCTCCCTCAACGCTTTGCGACTCTCCTCAACCCAAGCTTCATGAAGAGTCGCCTAAGCGCTTTTGGCTTTTTCTGCGATAAAGTCTTTATCGGCCAGAGACTTGTGTGGATCCAAGCGCAGGCTGTTCTCCCTGTCATACACAACAAGGCTTCTATCAGTGGCCTGAATGATGGAACGCAACACATCAGAATCCCGAGCCTCCACATAAACATCTTGGATAAATTCTTGATCGAAGTCTCCGTTTTGTAGTTCAGGAATGCAAAATGGAGCTCGATTAAAGAGAAATGCGCAATGAGACAGTTGCTGCACACTGAGCTGAGGGAAAACGAATATCCATGGAATTACGACCATTACCTGATCGTCCCGGGCATTTCGCAAAAATTGATAGAGCGAGGCATCTGAGGCATGCGAGGCACTCCCTTAAATTGCTTGTCAACCCACCGCGTGCTTATAATCTCCAGGAGCACAGATGGGCTTTTAAAAAGATCATGTCTGTTGTCGTCAAAGGGGGTGCTGTAGCCGAATGTCTCGGCGGGGTTTAGGTAATCCTGAGTCGCAAGAGGCAGGGCTGATCTGGATAACAGATGTGGGCTGTCAAACTGTCCCATAACAGCTTGTGGACCGTTACGTACATGGTCCCGCTCGCGATGTTTCAAGGCAGCTTTACGTGCGTCGCGACACACATGAGCGAGAGTTGGGGGCCGGGTGGACAGGAAGACGCCGGCAGATACCGGCGGAACTTTCTTTTGGAGCTGGTGCCGTGATGTACCGTTGGCTCCCCGATCAAGGTGGTGAAATTCATTGTGGAAGCTGAGGTCGTCTTCCTCGAGCAATGCTTCCTTCCCGATCATATCTCGAAGCTCCTAAGGCAGGTCCGAGAAAGTCTTCTTCCGGGCGGGTTGTTCCAAGTTGTTGTCGCCGCTGCAAGTTTGAACATCTGATTCAGATGCTTCTGGTGAGGGAAGCATATAAGTCAGTGCGCCATGACAGTCGAAGTTGCCGTCATCGGTCATCTGGGGCTTCTTATTGACGTGTGACATGATAGGAATGGTGATAATGTAGGCTAAGCTACGCAGCTGAACGATGAGGAAAGATCGATGGCTATACCGGTGCAATCAGGCAGAAGGCGTAGAAGGGCAAAGAAAGAAGAAGGTTCGTGTGGTGGCCAATGTATGGATCGCTGGTTCTGTTGAATTCTACCAAGGAGTGTAAACACATGGGTAGACAAGATCAATGTGGATACAACAATGTTGTATTAGCTGAAAGGTTGAAGAGAGAGAGAACCTGAAAGGTAGGGAGGTCTCAGAACTAAATACGAGAGTAAAGGTCACGTATTTAGATTATATCTGTAATGCAAGAATATTGTCAAGGCATGTAGTCCATATTCCCAAGGTTCTGATGCCAAAGTGTAGCAAGATGACTGAGGGCAAAGAAAAAGAGAAAGGCGTGTGCAAAGAACAACCAGAAGTGAAAGTTAATAACCCTCCAAGTTTCAAGGTTATTACCCTAATGCACCTTTCTAGGTCCAAGGCAAGAGCAGACAGACCAAGACCAGCCCGCAGGGTAAGGGCGGGTGGTCTGCACATGTGCTGTAAGCAGCATGAAAAGTCCTCTGAGGCAATCACCAAGCCACGGAGGAGGAAGGCGCTTTTAGAACCGACGAGCACTGGTAGTGGCTGCAAAAAAGAAAAAAAAAATATATATATATATATAGAATGGAAAACAAAAAAGGCGGAACCATTGTTGAAGAAATGAAGCATTTATTCCGGTGACTGTTGGTACCGCATCGAATCGGGGATCCGTCTCCAGGTTCCAGGGATATCGAGCATAATATGTACGCTTGAGGCACCTCTAGTATTGCAGATGCTCGAATTCTCTTACAAAACCCCAACCTTTAAGGCATCTGATACGGAAATTCTGCCATTTAGGCCTTGCAACCCAAAGACGTATCCCCGTCTCGATGCGGTAGATCGGGTCCGTAAAGTCAAAACCACGCAATGTTGCATTGGGTTTGGGTCATCCTATCTTCAGCTACTTATTAGGACCAGAAGCACCTGTTCGATATCTCTAACCGCCCGGCCCAACCCCGGTTCATCCATGATGATGAACTGAAGAACAGTTCCGATTTTGGGCATCCGTCTCCTCAACTGGACCTCACCGGTGATACCCGTGCCAGCGTTGAATGCGTCCCAAAGTCCTTTGAACGATTCCAAGGACAACGCGCAAAACTCTTCCCGTTTCTCGGCATTTGCCACAAGGTCGCGCAGCCGTGTGATTCCGCAGACATCCTCTTCTTCTGCCCCCCACACCAAGCCTTCCAGTTCACAGATTATTTCTGGCAAGACAGCCAGGTCCCGCATATCGACGAATTGACTAGCGTTACGTCCAGTGCCCAACGCCCAGCCCCACGGCAACTTGAATGTCTTTGCAGCGCAGTAGGGTATCCAGACAGCTGCCTCATAGCCCATGCACATCATGATCTGAAAATCTTTGACACCGGAGAGGAATTGAGCGAATTCGTCCTTGGCTTCGGCAGAGATGTCGTTGGTCGAGCCATGATTCATGACAAAACGGCACCCCAAACCTATCAGAGGGGGGTGCTTGTCGTAGGTGTACGAGACCCCTATTGTCGATCGAGAAACCCATTCTAATCCTCGGCGCCTCTTAGCGGCCAATTCGCTTGAGGTGGGTGTGGTTTTACGAGAGCCATAGTAGGCGACTTTGTATCGTTCTTGGGCGAAGGCGCGTGAATCACGACAAACATGAGCGAGGGCCGGTGGTCGGCTAGTCAGGATCATGGCGGGAAGGTATGTACGTGTGGAAGGCGGCAGAGTTGTTTCGGGAATTGGATCGAGAACTTGGGCCCAAATCATGTCTCGGAGTTCTTGAGGGAGTGATATGAGAGTTCGCGGCGTGTGATCCGGCTGACCAGCTCCATCCTTTCCATGGGAGAGAACAGTTGGGCTGTTGCTCTGGGTCAGTTGTAGTTCCTCAAGAGTGACCAGCATTTCGACCCGTGTCATCGCCGTCCGATAATGAGAAAGATGTAGGCGACGAGTTGAGAGGTTCCTCTCTTCATAAGACGCAGAAGCAGGATGGGATGTTGGAGATTTGGGAGTTGCTCAGAAGAGAGAAACACTTCCAACCGAGGACTCTCCAGGCTGACACGTGCGGGGTAGAGGTAACGCTGTAGCCTGCTCCGGTTCAGAGACGCTGTTGTAACATGAATGTACTCCTGTACCGCGTGTTGGTCCCTGATATTGGTATTGCCATCTTGTTGGTGATACTATTGTCCGGTTTCCCTTTGAAGAAACGTTCGGGATGAAAAATTGTCATTGTCGGGCGTCGTCGCTAAGGGACGGGACGTGCCGATGGCTTCATGGCCGTCATCGGAGGGGGGACGTGGAGGTAAATAGCCATTTTCTCCCCACTTCTCCGTGACTCCAAACTTTCTCCTCCTCAAAACCCCCCAAAGCCGTGTGTCGATATCACAGTTTCTCATCGTACTTGGATCAATCTTAGACCCAACGCCAGCCACTGCGAGACCATCTCATACCTCAGTCATGGCAGACACCGACAAGGGACTCCCCATCAGCTGCGAATGTGGATACATCAAGTTCCGGACGCCGTCGTCGAAGCCGCTCGGAATGGCCTGCTGCCATTGCACGTCTTGTCGGAAGCAGTCAGCCTCGTTCTTTGGCACATCGGTCTACTTCCCTGCCAGCGAAATGTTTCCCCTACCAGCCGATCTCGAGTCGAAACTCTCTGTCTTCACCCATCCAGCTGACAGCGGCAACACGATGCACTGCTACTTTTGCCCCAAGTGCGGAGTTCGCATTCTCCATGCTGGCATTCTCCCAGATGGCAAAATGCGCCCTGCCGTCAGCATCAAGGGCGGAGTCATCGATTCTGGGATTGATTGGAAGGAGATGAAGCCCAGGCATATCTACACTCGATCTGCCGTCATGGAGTTGCCTGAGCAGTGGGAGTGCTATGAGACCGTGGCGCCTACACAGTATGGCCCAACACCAGGAGATGATGGCAAGGACAAGAAGAAGAAGGAAGACTGAGTATGTTGTGACTGTATTGTCTGCTTTGTTCCGTCGATTGGTTGCCTGTATGTTATTGCTACGTGGAGGCCAGGGCCCAGGACAAGTTGAATGACTCATTTGGCGTTGTCGTCATCTCTTGTTTGCCGCGCTACCAAGCAGCTACAGTCTTAACATGTTATTTCGAAAAGCGTTGCATGTTTTGTTAGGGCACCATCATCATACTCGTGAAGGGTTAGGGTTAAAGTCAGACCGGTCCAGCCCGTCCCTCATCTGAAACTCAGTCGGGACGGTGGAGATCGAATCAGGGGCGCGAGAAAAAGAGTGGGGTTGACAGCACCCCTCCCCGCTGCGGCGCTGCGACCCTGACAGATCGTGACTTTTTAGCACTCAACCGCCCGCGTCTGGCTCCTGAATCCGTCCGCCATGCGCCCAATCCGTCTCTTCAACTCCATTCTTCGATCCCCGCGTCTTATCCACACAATGGCTCCCAGTATGCCTTTCCGCTATGTTACTCTAGAGACAACATGACCAACCACCAATACTGACTCGGCTGCGCTGCCAGTTCTCCCTCCCGACCGTCGCCCCGTCGTCATCTCCGGCCCCTCTGGCGTCGGCAAGGGCACCCTCTTCAAGCTCCTGTTCGAGAGACACCCCGATACCTTCACTCTTTCCGTGTCGCATACCACCCGCGGCCCCAGACCAGGCGAAAAGGATGGCGTTGACTACCACTATGTCACCAAGGAGGCTTTCGAGGAGTTGAAGGCCAAGGGCGGTTTCGTCGAGAGGTACGGATAGACAAACATACAACAACAACAACAACAGATGCGCCTGTTCGGGGACACGACTTGAAAGTTGGAGGCTAACTCTCGACAACAGTGCGCAGTTCGGCAGCAACTTCTACGGAACCAGCAAGGCCACCATCGAGGAGCAGTCCGCCAAGGGCAAGGTCGTCGTCCTCGACATCGAGATGGAGGGTGTCAAGCAGATCCAGGCTTCTGGCTTCCCCGCCCGTTACGTCTTCATCGCTCCCCCATCCGAGGAGGAGCTTGAGAAGAGACTCCGCGGCCGCGGCACCGACAAGGAGGAGGAAGTTCTCAAGAGACTGGCCCAGGCCAAGAACGAACTCGCTTTCAGCAAGACCAATGTCCATGACAAGATCATCGTCAACGATGTACGTGTTGCTCCCTCGCTACAAGACCCTCTGCACTACCACAAACTAACGCCCCCTTTAGGATCTCGAGAAGGCCTACAAGGAGCTCGAGGAGTTCGTCTATACCCCGGTCGCCTAAGCTTAGGGTTGCAATTAGGGTTTTGAATAGACTGTACCTTGATCAACCGTCTCTCCTCAAAACGTGCCGTATCTCGAGATTGCCAAACCGTGGCCGCCGCCGTCGAACTTATACCGTGATAATACCAAGGCAAAATCACTGGCCGGCTAGTCTTCTGGTCGATGCTCCAGATAAACTCTGCAATCAGCCAGGTGTGGTCGTTTTCAGCCAGAAGCCCGGCTCGTACTAGGCCCCAAGGCTACTCTAGGCACCGGTCGACCTACAACAGGTCGTCAAGACCAGTCCAGTTGTCGTCTGCCTTGGAAGGACACCGGAAAAGCCGCCAGAACGAAATACATTGCAACACTCTCAGCGGCACATGCCCTAAGCAGCTCTCTGGATTAGACGTCACGGACATCCCTGTCGCTTAAGGAAACAGGGCACTGCTGGACTCGGGATGATGCAGTCACTGCCTCGGATCACAAATACAAAATGTCGAATCAGCCTATCAGCGGTCCAGCATACTCGAATAGTTGGCTACACTATCTATCAGTTTTCTCCATATTCTACCATCTTCCCAATCAATCTGTTACACGAGACACGCATGATAGCGAGTCCCAGGATACCCAGAGGAATCTAGGCATAGCATCGGTGTATTCACCATGAGGAAAACATTCGAACTCTAGACCTTCGATCAGATTACCTACATAATGGCCGCAAGAATCCCCAAGGGAACTTTTACGCATCCATTGACATGCCACCTCTAGTCCTTTCGTTTGTGTCATAGCCATATTTCCTTTTGTCGTTTGAGTCATGTTGTCGGCTAAATCAAGCATTCCTAGTTGTTTGCCCTGTGGTAAGGTGACTCAGAACACACACCTGTAGACCTTCCATGTCACTATTGGGAAAACACTTTGTCTCTCGATGGACCATTACAGCAACGCTCGCCCTGTTTTTGAGATCCATCGAGTGGTGCAGGTAACGGACACTCCATTGAGACTACCTGACCTCAAGTACGATCTTCGTATGACATCTCACGGGAGCAGTCTGACACCCAGCCAACCTGTCGGTTTCCCCAATTGTCACAGGCTCGGTGTAATACAACACCGGGACGCCCGTTACACCGGTTCTTCCGTCACATTCCCCTTACCCTTCGGTAGCATCTCACCCTGTCTTCACTACTACCCCGGATTTCAACCCCGCGTCGTGCTCGGAGCATGCAACTCCAAGTAGACATTTCAGTCTCGGCACCCTTCGGCGGGTGATTACCCCATTCGCCGGCCTGCACATTTCAACTGCACATATGTCGGATCTTATCACCAACACATTGGACATGACCAGTCTGCAAGATGCAAGTGACCAACTGTTAACCAAGAGAGGGAATCTTCTTGATGATCGATTTATCTGTCCCTGCAGGATGGTGAAATAACACAGAGGAAGCCCCGAGTCTGTGGGATGATTGTCGTCTCTTCACACATCTCAACTCTCCACCAAGCATTGTCCCGTGGCGAGCACCCGGACCCTAAAACGAACTTCGCTCGAAATGGCCATCACAGGGGTGGAAGAAGAACATGGCGATTCGCGTCTTACCGAACTCGCCAAAGCGGACACGATAAAGTGGTATCAAAAGCCAAACCTTCGTTTGCTCTACCTGATCCTCATCCCTTGCGGGTTGGGAGTAGAATGGACGTCAGGGTTCGACTCGTCCATGATGAACAGTCTTCAAGCTGTTAAGTCCTGGGTAGACTGTAAGTCCCATCAAATCGACGATATCAACGGATGCCTTGACTGACCAAAGGACACTCTACCACAGACTTCGACAACCCAACCAAAGGTCGACTAGGCCTGCTCAACGCGATGTACTCCCTTGGCTCGCTCTGCGCCATCCCCTTCATCCCCACCATCAGCCACTATCTCGGCCGCCGTCGCACGATTCTCCTCGCTTCAGTCATCATGTGCATGGGAGCCGGTCTCCAGGCTGGCGCCCGCAACTCTGATATGTTTCTTGCCTCACGCTGGGTCCTAGGCTTTGGCATTCCCTTCGCTATTGTCAACGCCTCCTCCTTAATAGGCGAACTATCCTACGCCAACGAACGGCCGATCATGACCTCACTCTTCAACGCTTCCTGGTTCGTCGGCGCCATCGTCGCGGCCGGCACTACCTACGGCACCTTCCAGATGAAGAGTACCTGGGCCTGGCGACTCCCGAGCCTGTTACAGCTCGTGCCAAGTTTCTTCCAAATCGCATTCATGCCCTTCTGTCCCGAATCCCCCCGGTGGCTGATCTCCAAAGACCGCGGCGACGAGGCGTTCGCTATCCTGAACAAATACCACAACGAGGGTATCGGCGGTGAGGAGTTCGTCCGGCTCGAGTATGCGCAAATCCAAAGCACCATCGCCCAGGAAAAAGAACTAGCCAGCCGCTTTGTCTGGGCAGACGTGATTCGTGACGCGCCCATGCGGAAGCGGTTCACCATTGCGGCCGTCATGGGCTTCTTCACGCAGTGGAGTGGTAACGGGCTGCTGAGTTTCTACATGAAGAAGATCTTGGCGTTGGTTAATATTACGGATGATCACACGGTTCAGAAAATTATTTTGAGTAATACCTGCTGGGGATTGATTAATGCGGTGCCCATCGCTCTGATTGCACCGAGGTTTCCACGCCGAAAAATGTTTCTGCTTTGCACCATTGGTACGGCGGTCGTTTATGTCGTTTGGATTATTGCCAGCGCTAGATCGACTATTGAAAAGTCTTCGAGGGCGGCGATTCCGGTTTTGGTGTTTATTTACGTTTATTCGCCGTATAAGTCTTGTTTCCGATCCCAACCATCCTATCCTAAATCGCATACTACCATCAACCTAGGTGTACACCGCTAATATCCCCATCAAAAATAAATAGTTTCTACAACATAGGCTGGAACGCCCTCGCCTACACCTACCTAATCGAGCTCTTCCCCTTCCAGCAGCGCTCCCAGGGAATCGCCGTCGAGCAGCTCAGCGTGCGCGCCGCCGTGTTCTTCAACACGTACGTCAACCCGATTGCGCTCGACAGCGTCGGGTGGAAGTACTACATTGTGTATTGCGTGTGGATCCTAGTGGAGATCCTGACGGTGTATTTCTTTTTCCCGGAGACGCATAACCGCACGCTGGAAGAGCTGAGTTTTATGTTTGAGGGGAAGGAAGTGAGGGACAAGGTGCAGAAGAATGTTGATAAGGTTTTGCAGTTGGAGTTGGAGGAGATGGCTTCGCCTACTGTGACGAGGGAAGAGAGGGTGGAACTGGAGTCTGGAAGGAAGGGGAGGTAGAGGGATAGTTGAAGATAAGGCTTGAGCGGACTGAACAAGTGCTGGAACCATTACAAGGAACATGAATGTGAGTTCTGTTACGGGGCAACGGTAGCCATTACACATCTTGACAGTTAACCTCGTGGATTTAAGGGAAAGACATTTTGCCACCACCCTCTGAGATCAAGCAGAGCAAATTAGGCCTAGTATTTGTGTTCGCTAGGTAGATGGTTGAATCGATAAATTACAGTTGTATGCCGAGAACATCATCACCTTCCCAAAAACGACTTCTCATCGCACAATCCAGCAGAGGCTGCCACACCACTGCAGCTGCAGAGTACTCGCGATGCTGCTTGAACACGATCATCCGAGCCAAGTTCAACCGACCACCGATATTCCAAAGCTTCTCGCTCCGCCTTGCAACTTCCTGGCCAGCAAACCGCCGCAAAACAGGAAAAGGCTGACCCGGAGAATCGAGCTGCTCGTTCACTTTCAACATACAACGTCATTTTTGCCATGTTCACAGAATCAATTAGGCGAAGGCGCATCTACAACCAAAGAACCACTACCCCTGAAGCACTGGCAACACAGACGGTGCTAAGAGTGAAAGATATGCGCAATCTAAGACCGGAACCGCGACCGTCCTACCGAGTGTCATCGGCTGCATCAACGATGATCTGCTTCCTGGACATTTTAGGCAGGATCCGAAAGACGCCATCGGATGGCAGGTTACATCTCCATGTTTACGTACCTCTTAAGTGCATGTTCGGACTCCCGTGAATCAAGCTTCATATATGAGCTCTTAAACAAGGGACGGTAGCGGTTGGCTCACTAGCATTTTCAAAGTCCCCGACAAACCAGGTTGTCTACGTTACACACATCAAGTTCTAGACCTCTCCAGTCACCGGCGCATTAAGACGTTATGACCACGCTCGTGGGACTATAGGAAATCTTCCCAAGGCCGGAAAGCCCAGGTTCGTACCCCGGCAGCATCTGTCTATATCTTGTTTCATGTGTCTAATTGGTGGTGTCGCTATCGAAGAATTTAGCCAGAATGCCCTTAAATGACCGAGCGGCACAGATCACCACCTCGTCTCCTTGCACCCCGATTAGACCGAAAGCGTGTAGATGAAATGTTGCACCCTTCTCCTACACCCGGTTTACTCCAACTATCTGATGACACCGCTGACAGAGACCGGACCAACGGCTGGCGCCTTACTTACCATGCAAGCAGATCGCTTCTCGAGATGCGGCTACCTTGGCGAGTCCTATCTGGGTTCTAACATCCAACATCATTGGATCTTCCGCCACTCATGAATGTACGGTACAGCTTGAAGAATGGGCTTGAGCTGGTATACCTTAGTCTTCTATTGCCTGGATGATACTGTCGTCATCTCCGGGAGGCCGATAAGGAGTACGCAACATTAACACAATGCCGCAGCAATGAGCCAGCATTGCGTCTCGGAAGCAGCATGGCCTTGGTGTGAACTCCTTTTCGGGAGAAGCACCCCACCTTCCGCGAGATCATAGATCCAGGCAAAGATGTTAACTCATTGGCTAGAACATGGGGTACGGAACAAGCAGAAGGTCTGTCCATCCATTGCCATATTCGGTCGTCTACCAGATTCGAACAATATTAAACGCATGCCCTTCTTCCATCTTGCACAGTCCAAAATCCAAGGCACATAGGAGGTCAGTGACTCAAATATCGCAACCAGAACTTTTCTGTCAACGTCTCTATGCCACCTAGCCACTTTGCAGAGCACTGATTCCCAGCATCAGCGGAGGTGCTGCATTGATAGTGAGAAGCAAAAGATGGGATCTCTCTCGGCTCCCAAGCGTGTCCTACTCCTCACCAACTCCGAGCACGGCCAAGCCAACGTCTTCCTAGCCGCCGGTTACGCTCTCCTCACACTCCCAGACGAAGATGTTGAGGTTCACTTCGCTTCCTTCACACCCATCCAAAAGTGTGTCCTCTCCACATACGAACATGCCAAGCGTAACAAGCCTCTTGCCCGCTCGATCATCTTCCACGCCATCCCCGGCATTGACATGGTATCCGCTTGGCTCCGACCTGAAATTGCCGCCGATCGGGTCAACATAAACAATACACGCATCGGCCTCGTCCGCGCCATCCGGCGTATGCGCCTTCTGTTGCGTGTAACGCTCCCCTGGCTAGGTCCAGAGTTTATTGGGATCTTCTGGGCCATCATCGAGATTATTATCAATGTCCATCCGTCCATCGTCGCGGTCGACCCAGCCTTCTCCCCTGCGTTGACCGCCCTCCGCTACCTTAACCATAGCAACCGAAGTCCCAACATGATCAAGTTCATCATACTTTCACCCAACACCATCAAAGACTTTGCCATGCCCTTCCAGCCGGACGCCCAAGCCCTCTGGAAATACCCTTGCATTGGGACAGCCTACCCCTTCCCTGTTCCCTTGCTCTACATCCCATGGAATATCTATCTGATATTATTCTCCATCATTGTCGCCGTCTTCCTAGACAGCAACCGTCGCTCCATTCAGCAACATCTCACGCTAAACACCGATGAGAAAACAAAGGTCACAACCCTAAACGACCTCAGCCTCAGCTCAGCTGGAATGCGAGTCAGATTTCTGGTGGCTAACCTACCAGAGATTGAGTTCCCGTTAAAGGTTATACCAAAGCATATTATCCCGTGTGGACCGATGATACGGCCGTCGAAGCCAGTGAAAGAGGCGGACCCGGAGTTGGCTGGGTGGTTAAAGCGAGGTGGGAAGACGGTGTATATCAATCTGGGAACGCATTTGTTGTTTGACGAGGCGGGGCAGAGGGAGATGGCAAGGGCAATCAAGATGCTGTTGGATGTGGCAGAAGGGACGACTTGGAGAGACACCGAGAGGAGGTTGAAAGGATTGAAGGTTTTGTGGAAGGTGCCAGGGTTTGTGAAGGAGGCTGAAGAGAATGGCGGTAGTGAGCTTGGTGAAGGACAAGGGAGATCGGGGCATGCGGCGGGCATCAAGAATGGACACCAACACGGGGATGAGCAGCAGCATCACGATCGAAGTGAATCGCCCATATACTCTATACTCGGCCCAGATATTGAGTCTGGTACTGTTCGAATAGTCAACTGGTTCCAAGCCGAGCCCACAGCAATCTTGCAGAGCGGCGATTTGGTATGCGCCGTTCACCATGGGGGTGCCAACTCCTTTTTAGAAACCGTCTGGTAAGTATTTATCTCCATATGCACTCTAACATCACTGTCGATACTAACTCTAGTCATCATCAGCGCTGGTATCCCCCAAATCATCCTCCCTCCATGGATGGATTGCTACGATTTTGCCCGCCGAGTAGAGATCCTTGGCATCGGGCGCTGGGGAAACCGCTCGATTTCCGACTCATCAGAAAGCAGCAACAAGTTGTGCAATGCGAGGGAGCTGGCAAACGTTCTGATTGATGTCATTATAAGTGGAAGGTGGCCTGTATACGCAGAAAGAGCCAAGGAGTTGGCGAAGGTTTGTGGAGGGCCGGAAATTGGAAGGGAAGTTGCCGCGAGAATGATCCTGAGGGAGATTGACGGGTCTGAAGGTGATGATGTTATTGGCGAAGAGCAGGAAGGTGTGAAAGCGGCGAGGGGTAGGGGAGAGGAGAAGGAGAAGACAAACTTATTGGATGGCGCAGGAAGTTCATGAACATTTACCTTTGAAGTTGATGGTGCCCGGATGTTGTCGTTGAACGATATCGACGGAGCACAGGTAACGCCATTTCCCTTACCTGTTTCTGGCAACTTCAGGCCCCAAGATAACAAAACCCCCTGTTATTCAAACACTGCGGTACTTATAGTTATAGAAGATGGGTTTTGCCCTCCTCCTTCGTTGGTATTAGGGGTCTTATTGGCGAGTGTCCACCAGGTCAAGTTATACAGTAAGGGGACTCGGGGGCCAGGTTCAGTCGCGTACTACATATCGGTGCGAATATCTAACGACTCGTTATTATCCCGGCAAATATTTCATCCATGAGGGCTAGGTGGTGGAAATGCAGTCAGTTGACAATGTAAAAGGGAGGTAACGCTGTTGATGGTGTACAAGATGCCCGGGCGCTCTTGGATAGAAAGGTAAGGAGAGAGCAAGACGTGCCGTGCCCTGCCCGTGCCCAGTACTGGGAACTCCTGGCGGGCATGGAGTCCAAGCTCACATTAGCCTCTACAACGAACAACATTGAGATCAGTGCTTACCTTGGCAATTGAAGATCTGTGCTCACGTGGATCTAACTTGGCCGTATTTTCCGCTCCTCGTTTTAGAACTGGCATCAGACATTTTTGTTCTACCTGCTCCTGCCAGAGGATGAACGACAGATTCGCCATCTGATGGAATCTGATGAACCAGCGTTCGCCAAGGGTTGTCCAGACACAAGATGAACCAATCATCGGCTTCCTCATATCCCAATTGGGCAGTGCCACGACAAGGATTCCGGGCCAAGTTCCGGTGTTCCACCCACCGAGTGGAGTCCGCCACTCACCCAAAATCCTCATAAACACACGATATGTACCTACCTGACCAAGACACTTGATGATGACTCTTCAGCAACGCCAGGCAGGTAGGTAGTTTTTGTTAACCTTAGAAGGTAAATGTGTAATCTTTCTACCCATTGTACCCCCTCTTCTATTCAAACGAAAGTTAGTTCCACAGGAGCTACTTAGTTTTTTCCTGCACATGGCCTTTACCTTCGCAGAGCCCCAATATTAACAGAGCACCTCTCGCCCAGGACAAAGTTGATGACACCCGAGACCAAGTCCTTACTAGAGTAATACAGGAGGCTAATTAACAACTGGCAAAATTGCTTACCCCAAATACACTAGGACTGTATAGATCGACAATAAGCCCTTTTAGGCACTACAGTAGGTATCAAATTTGATAAAGTTTGCTGATTTTCGTGGTGTTCTAGAAGGAAGGCCGGATTTGGTGTTTTGAGTGGTGGACTTTATGTTGGATGTCATCAATTTTCGGTTCCGCAAGGTCCAGGCCAAACCAGCACAAACGGCAGTGGTGTCCAACTAGGCTTCCACATTGGCAAAGTGCCTGTCACACAGACATTGCCCACAGTCCAAGGGTTAGGGTCGCAAGGCTCAGCAGAGCCTCAACGCCTGGAATGAGCCTCGAGATCCCCGGTGGCCCCAGGGCTACGATATTCACCTCGGCCGGACTCTCGGCCACGGGTACTACTTACCCGAGCCCCTTCCGACACTACCAGGCTAGCGAGCCAACTAGGGAAGTGCTGAAACACTGATGAAATATCATGAGACAATCCCCAGAAGTAACACAGCCAAACCAAGCAAGAAGCACGGCGCCCAGACGAATCACAGCGCCAGAAGGAAGATGGAGAATGGATGAAGTCATTCAGATCCAAATGTATGCAGACTGCTAGATAGAGGCCTTGAAGCCTCAGGCAACAAGGCTTGATACGTAACTCAAGTACGTACCGATTCCCTTTGGCATAAGAAGGCCTGGAAGCCCAACCTTCTCCTGGAGGTTGAGAAGATCAACAAGGCCTTCGAGACCAAAGTAGTTTATCAGCGGAATTGAACTACTGTTCCAAGCCCAGAACACTGCCCTTGTCACAGCAGGCGAGAGGGCAGGAGCTAGTGCTGGTGGTGAAGTTCGCCACCCACTCAAGTTCAAAACTACCAAGTCCACCATCACCACTTTGTAGTCGGCCGTTATCCTCGTCGCTTGGTAAGGGAAGGGCGTTGGGTGTATAGTGATTAGCGTCAGCCCATCTGCTGTGAGCCTGTGTCGCTGATTGTCATGGGCGAAGATGGGACCGTGGAGGGTGAGTATTGTTGATGTCGATACTGTCGCTTTCGTCACCCGATTGAACCTGAGATGCGAATAAAAGTCAGTTTGGAACCGAAGACGGAGAATATCCGTACCTGTGATTCTAAATAGTGTCGTTGTCATTGAAGGCGACGATGGTGACGATGGTGGTGATGATGTTGGAAGAAGAAGAAGTTGGAGAGATGCCGAGGAACTTGGGACTTTTACTTCAACAACCCCGTTTTCTTTCTCATCCTTCCTCCTTCTCTCCCCACATTCCCCTTTTTTATTCATGTGCCTTCCTAGAATGGAAGTTTTCGTCACTTTTCAGGATCTCGCAGCGGCCCGAGAGCTTAGCGTTCGTTCTATCCCGGCTCCACGGCTAGGAATTTCCAACTCTCAAGATATTTCAACGGTTGAGAACGTTGTGCAACGATTAAGATATATCAAGTGTTAAAAGCTCCCCTAGATTTACGGTAGTGTAAAATGCCAGTCTGCTTCAAAACAAGTTAGTCTAAAAGGGACGTTCAAGCACATCCTCAGTAACTTCGTCACTGGTGAACTCCTTAATTTTCGTACCTTGCTCCGTCCTCGTTCAAGATGCCCACACTCAAATGGAAAGCCCATGCCTTCCATCCCATCTCTAGTTTTACAATATGAATCTTCCCGTACGCGTGCCCGGTGAAATAGAAAAGAGATAAACGGATAACCAAGGATAAAATTTCAGGCACCAATATTCGCTCTCACCCTTTATTCACATTTCGTCCCTCGTACCCGCCAGTTTTGCCTTCCTGTTTCTAAATTTTCAACCCTCGGCCGTGACCTTTCTTCTCTTTCTCGACAACCGTGAGGGTCAACTTGTTACGATCCAATCATGGAGACTAGACTAGCCGACCAATCAGATCGGACCCGAAGGGAGGACCCGAAGCCCCGGGTCCTAAGCCCGGGTCCACGGGTCCAGTATATCGGGTCCATGAAGACCGGTATAAAAGAAGGCCTTCCCCGGCCTCTTGTTACCGGTTCTTCAGCAAGCAATAGCTATCACAACCTACCAGTACCTTTTGGCTACTACTCCGTTACTCTATTGTTCTATCCCAGCGATAATACTCCTGTGCTTGTAACGGTTCGTCACACAACTGAGAGATCATCCCCCTTCAACAACAAATCAACGCATACACTTCGTGTAAGTAAAAGACCCAGGCGCTTGTCTTAAGCAGTATGAACGGACTGCTGACCTAAATGCACTTCTCAGTTTCCATTCGCGTCGTCGCGCGTCGATCGAGTCATCAAGCCACTTGCTCCCAACAAAGTGTGTGTCCAAGTTTAGCTGCTAGCTAAGCTGTAAAGGCCACACTCCTTCTTCACATGAACTGCCTTCACATGAACTACATAAGCTTAACGGATTGCGACTAACACATCCTTGAATGAATACACACCATGCAAATTCAGATAGCTGCTCCTACCCCCGCCCAGCCTCTCCATCTCGACCGCCTTGTCCCTAGGAAGGGCCTCCGCTGGAACTTCCACCATGGCCATGGCATTATCGAGCCCGAGCGGCGCTGCGCCAGGCTCGCCTAGAGTCTTCAGCTGCTTGTTTCCCAGGCGCTCCCCGACGTGCGTATATATTCGTGCCAGGTTAAGCGCGAGGTACTCGTTGCGATTGTGGACGCGTGCACCGAACTTATTCGCGAAAACCCGGATATACTGGGAGCAAACCTGCCCGCACCCCATGGAAACCTAGAGGCACCCCATGGATTTTAGACAAAGTATATTATGGCCACGACCGCAAACTTTCTAAAAGGGAAAAAAAACATCATATTCCAACTTCCAGGAAACAGATCTTATGGAGCTAAGGCTAAGATTTATAAACACATCATTGTTGCGAGCCTGAGCTTGCTAATTGCATTCAGAGCGCCAGTTTTGGCAACTTACCCCGCACGTCGGTAGCAAATCGGCCCGGAATTAAAAAAACGGGTTCGAATAGAGGGATATGAGCCAAATAGGTAACCCGAACTGATTTCATTAAAACTTAGGAGTGAGTAGGGTATAAGAATTCGAAGTGTCTGAAATCCATGGGATGCCTCTAGGTTTCCATGGGGTGCGGGCAGGTTTAGTCTATACTGGAGCCGGAGGACTTCATGGCTGGCATCGGCATAACTGGCGTTGGCAACGTAAGCTGGAACCCTTAGGACTGGGAGGATAAGTCCATCTTCGAGTAAATTCGTATCGATACCGAACTTGGGGAGCAGTTCCGCCCCTATACTTTCCAAGCGCTTTTTTTAGCCATTATCGAAGCCAGGCAGCGGTTCCTCCGCTTTGCCGAGGAGAACCTGTCCGCCCCGCAGGGTACCTTACGCCGCTGCCCCCTGGCGGCCACTATTGACCGGTTCTTACATGCTGCCGTATTTTGGGATACCACTAGCGTCCCTATTCAGCTCCAGATCGAGGCGCTGGACGACGAGGAGGTGGAGGATGAGGAGGACGAGATGTATAGCACGGAGGATGAGGACATGGAGAACGAGAACAAGGACATGATGGACGGGGACATAATGGACGAGGAGGAGTACGAGGACATGGAGGAGTAGACGAAACACATGACTAGAACATGAGGACTCCCAGAAGAGTGAACAAGAGGAATCAAGCCATCCAATAAAGGAGTTCTGGACTGAGAATTGCCGTTATTATATTCCACAATACATGTTGTTCTAACTAATTGACGCCTTGAAATGAGCATGAGAGAGCATGAAGAGAATTCTGCCCATCACCTTACCACGCGCTTGTACAATGGTACCTACCAACAACCTGCCTCACTGCCTGCCTATATATATGGCAAATAGCGTTCTTTTCCTTCAAGCGCGATACCCCAAGGCAAACCTTGGGATCATGGCTGAGCGGTCATTGATGCTTG